AAACTTGAAGATATTGAAAAATTAATGGAAGATTCACGTGAAGCTATTGAATATCAAAATGTTTGTTTTAATCTATTGTATTGTTTAATTAGATTAATTTTGATGTTTCTTTGTTTTTGTTTTCAGGAAGTATCAAATCTTTTAGCTGGTGGTTTAAGTCGAGTTGATGAACAAGATGTTGAAGCTGAATTAGATGAATTAATTCGAGCTGAAGAAGCACAGCAAATTGGTCATTTACCAGATGTACCTCAACGTCGTGAACGTAAACTATTCATATAAATATTTAGATTTGATTTGATTTGATTTGTTATTTAGGTGAACGTGATCGTATACCTGTTGTATCTCCAACAAGAGTAAAACAACGTGTACTTGCCGAAGCTGATTAAATAAAAATTCTTATTCTTATATGATTTGTTTTGTATATATGTGCTTCAATCACTTTGTCTCTTTTTTTACAAAAACATATAAACATTTCTAATTCCTATTTGTTTCTTTTTTTTATTGAATAGCTATATAAATCATTGTGTTTTTAGATTTAAATGATCATTAGAAATTATATTGGTCATACTTTATTAATATTTGTAACTGGTGAGATGCTTGAGGGTTTTAAACCATTCGGAAATAAAAGAGACATTACAGTTATCTAAGTAACTGTTAATCGAAGTTGGTCACCTAGATGACCTTTTGCCGAAAACCTTGAAAATCTAAACAATGTCTGCATTGCATAGATTGAGAGAGCTGTTTCTTTTTGTTTCAAGTATAAATGATTAAAATAAACATGTACGAAGAAAGTTTTCTAGAAAATCATTCTCAAGGTTTGCGACAAAAACCCAACTAGTTGACCAATTTTTGATTAATGAAATTTTATATTATAGATGAAAGAGTTCACTCTTTGACAGCGACAATCACAACTCTCTATCTTCTTCCTATCGCGAAGTTATCTAGATAACTGCAAGGTCTCGTTTATTTTCAAACGGATCTTAGTTTTGAAATAAAACAAATAAGGATTAGAGAACTAATGACTTTAATAGGTAGAAAATACAATTTTTTTTAACAGTATTAAATACAGTAAATACATTTTTTATATGTTTGTTTGTAAATTTATTCGAAAACTTTATATTGGTAAATGTCTTATTGTATATATAACATTTTGTCAATTTCTTTTTCATTTGAATACAATGTCGTCAAAAAATCGGTCAATATGACAAAAATGATGAGATTTTCTTTTTAACGGCGTTTCTTTTTCAGAAGGGATAGGAAGATACATTTGTTTCTCAATAGACAAGAATTTTAATTTGTGATTGTATATAGTTTCTATGCTTTCATTTTGATGTTTAGTAATTTTGATCATAAATTAAATAAATCATCCCAGAAGAATTAGATAAACTTGTTTTATTAATTTTTAATCATATCATGATATGTTTTGCAAATTAATTTTTTTTTTTTTGATTTTCTCAGCATATATTACTAGCATTTGTTGTCTAACTTGAGATTCTGTTTCATTATCACCATGATATATTATGAAGTAATTCACAGTCAATCAACTATATTCAGAGTTACACAACATGACTTTTGAATACTGTCTTTTTGATGGTTCCTTTTGTCATCATGAGTGAAAGGATGATGATGATGATTAATCAGAAAATTCTCGAATGATTCCTTATAGCACATAGAAACAAAAATTATTCATGAACTAGTCTCAATTTTGTCCCTTCATTCATGTAATATACCTCATAACTAGAGATGTGTCGCACCAATTTCAGTTTCGGTTCCAGTTATACCAAAGGTTTGAAGTTTCACAAGACCGGGACCATGAGAAAGAGAAGTTAACCTAATTGAAACTAAAGATTATAGTTAAATATTCTATGGTTGTAAGTGGATTATTTTATGAATCATCAATAAGAACATAATGTCAGAACGATTACTCCAAAAACTGCTAGTCGTCAACTAAATAAATCAAAAAACGAGTAGTGAAGAATATTTTTTGATGTAAACCTCCCGACACATTATAAGATCCGGAGGCTTCTGTTTTGTCTTATCGTGCATAAATTACAAGAGGGGTCTTCTAATATGTCCCTTTAAAATGCTATTTTTGGGCAGTATCGCTAACAAATTTTGATTTCAGTCAATTTTTGCCCAATACATCGTTACTAAACGAGTTTATTTTATATATTCCTCTTGCATAGAATGAGAAATAAACATATATTATCCTATGAAAAAGAAGGTGGTCATCATTAGTTAGAAGTATTCTTAGAACAGTGTAGGCAACACTCCCTAGCATCTTAGTACAATGTTCAATAGAATTCCTTTTTTTCTAAAGAATTCTATTGTCACTGGCGACATTTAACCGTCTAAATAACTGAAAAAAGACAATGAGTTTCTTTTTGTCAAATTTACTTAAGGCAACTGTTTCTGTTGAGGTTTGATTAGTACAAATGGAATTAGTTCCGATGGAATCTACCGCCGACATAGTTATTGGTTGTAGGCTAATATCGATGAATGCGATTGTTTTGTGAAGAAATAATTTGTAGAAAAACAGCAGTTTAATACACATTTTGTGTTTTCTTTTGTGTCTGTTTCGAAAAATGCCTTTGAATTGTATTGAAAAAAAGAAATGTATTATCAGACTCATAAGTACTCACCGAACAAACTCCGAAGTGTATACGTGAAGTTATGTTTTCTTCAATTATGAAAATCTGTTTTGGAATAAAGACGTTTCTGAATCTCTAGAAGAAATTTATAGGTGAAGAAGCTTTTTTATTAATATAAAACGATATTTTATCAAATATGTTACTATTTTACAAAGATCTCTTTATGTTCTACATCTGCGAATGTAGACTCAGTCCACTAAATTGTACGGTCATGATTGTGTTTTCCAAAAGCAAAAAACGTATTATTTTATAAGCAGGTGTTTCCTATTAGTTGTTTCTCATAATTTTTCTAACTCAGAACTGACACATCGTTATCACGACGAAAGTAAAATATTGTTCATACTGAACTTAGACATCATTATGGATTTAAATTTTAAAAAATCATTATCCTCTAGAAATTATTTTTAAAAAATCGATTTTGTGAGGGGCTCTTCGAATATACCTTTTTCTTCATTTATCAAAGGGAGGTCTTCTACTGTGTCGGGGCGTTTAATACAAATCAGTTCTAGAATAGTTTTCTCTAGATCGACATCAAAATGCTTTGTCTCACACGTCGCTACTCATAAACGTTATCATTAATATTTCTAGATGTAAATAAAAGAAACAATTCATCATGAATCTTATATTATCATTTATTTTTCTCGCAATATTTCTTCCACCTATATCAAGTCTATTTTCAGTTGAACGTATTCTTTGTAATCAATCAAGTTCAACTTCATCGATTGATTTCTCTATTACAACGAATCAGAACATATCATTAAATCTTTGTAATGTAACATTTAATCTGACAATTCATTCAAATGAACATTTTTTCTCACAAAATATATCTGTTGATAAACAAATTACAAATCCAATAAATCCTCATTTTACCTATGTAGGTCATATTATTGATAATGATGATTATTCAAGTGTTACCTTAATTATTTATCCACAATTACAAATTTATTTATATTTAAATGGCACATATTATTATTATCTTTCATTATCGAATAATTCTAATATAACATTAAAATTTTCTCAACAACAATTATTACAATATTATCCTCAATTAGTTAATGATAGTTTATGGAAAATTTTACAAAATGAAGAAGATAATTATCAACAAAATTCATTTATTTTACATGATTTACATTTTATATATGAATTATTAACATTACGATGTGAATCTGATAATTTAAAATATAAAACAATATCATTTTGTTCATTAGCTTTATTAATTGATGAATATTTATATGAAAAAATTTTTTACTCAAATATTTATTATATATATACATTCATAGAACATTTTAATTTTTTACTACGTACATTAACAAATAATGAATATGGAGGTTTTCTATTAAAAAATTTAAAATTAATTAATCATATTGAAGTAAATTCAAATCAATCATTTGATTTACTTCATAAATTATCAAATAATATAAGTTTATTATCAAAAGATTATTGTCTTGTTCATCAAATGTTAATAACAGATAATGAATATGATAATTATGTTCTCGGTTATCAATCATCAATGCATACATACGATATTGGTGGAATATGTTCATTACCATTTCATATAAGTAATAATAATAATAATCATTCAGAAGAAATAAATCTTAATACCGGTTTATCAATATTAAATGAAAATATAACAAAAAATCTTTCAATGTTTTTTAATGGTTTAATGAAAACAAGTTATTTATTTTTTCGTCAGATGGGTTTAAATTTAACATTATGTTCAATAAATGCAACACGAAGAGGTTTTTTTCAATTTAATACTGATTTATCACCTATCGTTCAACATTGTATTGACCTTGTACCAATAACATTACGACCAGCACTTAAACGACGTGCACATCTTTGTTTTAATCATATTAATATTTATAATTTAACAAATCAAACAATAAAACAAGACATTATATGTAAACAATCTATTGATTTACACTCATCTGTAACAATCGATGGAAAAAATCGTAAGAGTCCTTATATTGAAAATGCATTAAATGATAATCGACGTGGCGAATGGTTTGAAGGAAATATAGTTGGAATGATATTAACATTTTCATTAATTATTTGGATACCTGTTAGTTGTTTTGTACATTTTTGCGTCGATGAAATAAATAAAAAATCATTGATTGAAAAACAACAAGATATGGAAACTTTACCAATGAAATCATTAATTATTGAACAAGTTGGAATAACCAAACAAACACAAACTGATTAAAATGTTCTTTTTTTCTTGTGTCAGATTTGTTTTTCTTTCTCTTTGTGTACTTGAGACGGAAATGTATTTACTTTTATTATAGTAGAAATGAAAAAAAAAATATCAACATAGGTTTTTGTTAAATAAAATTCTTTATTTTATTTGAGATGTCAACACTTTATGGTTATAGTGATTTAATATCGGAAGATGTTGAAACAATTGATAGTGATGAAGAAGATGAAAAACGATCAAGTCGAGATCCGGATAAGTGAGTTATATATTTTCTTTTTCTATTTATTATATACAACGAAAAGGAAATGAAAGAATACTGAATTTCATTGATCAACGTGTATCAATTAGAAACATCTTAATTGTAGATTGAATGTGTGCGTGTACGTGCTTGTAGCTGTGTGGATGAAAATGTAACGGTTGGTACAGGTCTCTTCTTCGGTAACACCCACATTCATATCTAGAAAATATATTGCAACGTTCTGTCCATACGACTAAAAGTCCGTCCACTGAAAATTGTATGAGAATTACATATTTCTTTCGTCTTCTCTATTTGATTCGCATACATAATATATGCAATATTCTGTGTTTGCTCATCATTTCCATATATTTGTCTTTTGATCGATTAAAATCTAAACGATTCTAGTTAATCGTACAAATAAATTTATGAGCACTGGTGCGATAGAAAGTCAGAAGACTACATTTTTAATCAAAATCCCATCAGCCTATGTGGCTAATATTCTTGTTATATGTTAAAAATCGTTCTTTACAAGAAAATCATTCAAACGAAGAGTCGAATTACCTATATCAGATGCTCATCAACTTTTGATTTGAGTAGGATTTGATTGATGTAATTAAGACGACATCATTTTTTCTTAATCTTATGTGCAACGCTTATGTATATTAATTAAATTTAGGTCACCATTTTCAATCATTTGGCGAGATGATTTAAAAAATGATAATATCAAAATTCCATGTTCGTCTTTATTAATTGCTTTAGGAACAACTGCTTCAGGTAAAAGCAAAATTTTTATTTCTGAAATAATAAATAGACGAAAATTACTTTTTTTTTAAATAGCATTTGCTTTTACGCATATTTTGTGCAACTATGATCTAGAATTAATAGGCTATGGAACAGATGAAAAAATGACTGATGATGGAAATATAGAAACAAAATCCTTTGATCAAATCAAAACACAACAATATTCAACACAAAGTGTTGATCGTATTTATCGATTGCCATCAAGTTCATTTGTACTTATTCAATTAAATTCTTCAATTAAATCTGATCAAATTTGGTCAATAAGTGAACAGGTACTTAAAAAAATAACAAAATTTCAATAATTTTTCATAAATATAAAATAGATTTTGAACAAGTTTAATTTTTCAAATCTAAATATTTCAAATCCTGTTTACATTATACAATCACGTTCATCCATGGATTATGTTACTATAGCAGGTGAACTAGAAAACAAATCAAATTTATTTATTCGTTATATTAAATCATCAATAATTCCAACAGATGATAAAATTACACAAACAATTAAATCAATTGAACCACCAAATGCAATCCGGGGTCTATCAGCTGCTTGTATGTCATTCATTTTTATTCTATCTCTTTTCATATATAACTCAAAAAAAAAAAAAATTTTTTAATTTAGTATTTACGAAACTTCACCAAGCAAATATTCCGGTTATCATTCTTGTTGTTTATCAACGTCATTCATCTGTTAATGCTGATGCATTAAAGTTATTACAACGAATATTAGATCGAACATCAGCAACACTTAAACCATATATTCAACTAACAGAAAAAACAAATAAACAATTGATTCGATTAGCATCAACACAAACAAGTAATATGTATTCGTAATTATTTCATCTAATTATCAAGAACAAGACAAACAGTTTTACTCGTTTTCTTTTTCTTTTTTAATAAACATTATGAAACATTTCTAAAAAACAAACAAACACATAAAATATGATCAAATAGATCTGGCGGTTTCGTTTTTTTTTTCTTTTTTTTAAAATGGAAACATTATTCCAAATAGTAGAACATGCATAACGACAACACTAATTGCAATAAAAATAAGAATCATTGCAATTGTGTAATTTCGATAAGGTGGTTCACCGTGATATTCAGGTGTAATAAGCCAAAGTAAATGCTCAATATAATTATCAGCTGAAGTTATATCAGCTTTTGTTATACTAGTTAAATTAAGTGCCGAACTAAGAAAACCAAAACAAGCATATTGATTTATTCAAATAAATTAAAAATACCTTGTAAAATCAAAAAATGCTGATTGAAGGTTGACAAGATATTGTCGTGTTGATGTACTATCACAAGTATCTTTGGTACAATCAAATTGCCAATTTGAATAAGTATAACTTCATGTTCATAATTATTAATATAAAAAATATATGAAAACAAACACGAATAACTTACTTATATTGAACAGAAACAATTCGTTCGAATGAAACTGTTGGACTGATTTGTACACGAACAAAACCAAATTCTATATAAATACCAGATGGAACATCATAACAGAACGAAAGAGTTTCTGTAGCATCATAAATCGTATAGACATTTGTATTAACACTTGTTCCAATAATATCACTTGCATTTAATCGATTATTGGGGCGTGTTTGATCGATTCGATCAAGATCAATTTTATCTTGATTATCGTCTCTAAATTAAAGATGATTTTTTATTACATACAGTTCTACACGAAAGTAATAGCACACTCTAAAGTGCATTTATTCTTCTAGAATATTGAACTGATATTTTGAATGTCTGCATGTAACAATAGGTTCTGATCGTTAGCATTAACCTGCTCTCCAGCGGTTCACATGTATTGCAGTTATGATTACAAACATTATATTTCCCTTGCAAAAACTATATTCAACAGTAATATGCATTTAAAAGTCTCAACACTAACTTAACTTCAGTTAGTTTTGCAACTGTAAAACTTTCAGCATAAACTCGTCGTCTCATGAATATGTTCCACTAAAAGCTATAGTGATGAAGATCAATCTTACTAAAAATCAGTGTTAGTATTCTAACAGATACTCTTAGTAAGAAGACAATATCTTAGTCACTTTAAAGTGAGTTGTAACAAAATTCAGACTGGAGATAGCTACGATATCCGACGAAAATATTTAATAAGGTGATCACATGAGGAAAATCATGTTTGAATCGTAACTTTAGTACATGCAAATTAATAGAGACCGAATTAGTATTCACAATCAAGGCTTATTGTTGTACGCATATACCCAAAATATTAGTTCAATATTACAAAGAATAGTACTCCTTCATAGTGGGCAGCTACTGTACTCTTTTTCAATACTATAAATATATATATATCTACCGTATTTGAATTTGTGTTGCTTTTGCACTTGGATATGCAAGAACATGCGATGCTGGAGCATAAAATGTATTTAAATAGAGATACATATTAAGTCTATTAAAAGTTAGAGACAAAAATAAAATTGAATCTATTTCAAAAATAAAAAGAAACTCACCTGAGATCGTGACATTGTTGTATAGTAGCTCTTCGTAATTGAATAAAACAATATGATGATGTACCTCTTTTATAACGAACACTTTGTCGTGTAGCATCAATACATAAACCATTAGAAGCTTAATAAATACAATAAATAGTTGTCAAAATTAAAAATAAAGAAAAAGAAAAAACTTTACATGGAACTAGTGTTGATACATCTGAAGGAATGTTATTACGTCGAAATTGCAGAACTTCTCCATCAAGATAACCACCTAAATCAAACGAGAATTATTAATTACTAAAATAAAACATATTAATACGAGGAATAGTTGTAGATAATGCAGGATCATTTGCAATATCATTCCATTCAATTGTAATTCGTGGATTTGATGAACTTGCAGTTGCATATAGAACGAAAACTTCCACAGTTGATATAGTATGATCAGTCGATGAATAATTAAAACGATAAAATACTCGCATAGGATTTCCTGAACAAGTTATTGCTATAAAAAAAAATGAAAAAATAAAATACATAAAAGATAATAGAAATAGAAATACAAAAGAACTTTCGAAAAACATACATGTTTCATTGATTGCATTATTAAAATCAGCAAAATTTGTTGAATCATCTATTGATGCATTTGCAGCAATGAAAAAACTATCATCAATTGTACTATATGTTAAACTATCTCTCGATGGACACCCATTCCATGTTTGATACTGATTACTGCATACGAAAGTGTCAGGTACATTACAAACAGAACGATAACGTTGAGTTCGGGTAATTGGATGTTTACCAGGACAGTAATCATCAATAGAAATATTAATATATGGTATATTATTAATATTTGGAGAATTTGAACTCTGAAAATAATATTCCGTTGTGGAATCCCTTGTATTTGTGTTAGGTGGTGAATATGTTTTTGTAAAAAAAATGACATCTACAAGCGAACTTGAATCACCACCTTTCAAAAATGATCTTGTAGAATTGATAACACTACAAAGATTCTGTGTAGAAAAAGAAACAGAAAGACAATGTTTAATTAGAAACAGAAAACATATATATATATATAAATAATATTATATCATACAGATATTGTACTCGATGGACATGAAACATCACGATTAATTCCAAATAAAACATTTACATTATCTTGACAAGTCATACCAGCTAAATTTCCGGGTAATGTAAATAAATTATTTCTTTGTCTAACAGGAACACCTATGGAATAGTTTATTGTACTAGAAGTCGTTGTTAATGTTGTTGGTTGAAATAAATCTGAGTATTCATCAACAAATGTTGTGCGTAGATTTGTTGCATCGTCAGATTTTGTTAAAAATGTCACATTGCTTGTTCGACGGTATAGTCCAAGATTTTCATTAAGTTCAAACTATGTCAATTAATGATAATAACTTATTTCATTGAATTATAATAACATACTTGTACACAAACAAATGGAAAATAATCATATAAAGCTGCAGATGTACTATTAGAACATTTCCACGTTTGAAAACTTAGTTCCCTTGCAGAAGTATATGAAGCATCAGTTCGTACTGATTTACATATTGGTGATACACTCAAATCGGAGTCTTTGCAATCCTAGATACACAAAAAAGAAATTCAGTGAAAATATTGACCTATTTTTAAATGACAAACAGAATCACAGCAACAATTTGGATCGCAAACATTTATTCGAACATCGCATGAGCATGGTGCAGGATCAGTAACGGCTGGATTGACAAATTCACGTTGACTCAGAACAATATCTATGGAAGTAAAAGAATTAAATCGATGTTTTAATTAAAAGATAATTACATGAATTGAGTTGAAGAATGATGAGAATGCATATAAGAAAATACATTGGATTGATTCTACTATCTGATTGTGATTAATTGATGCTTTCTGACAGAACCATGCAAATCGCCATTATGGAATTGGTTTCTATTGACTAACCTATGATATATTTACGAATAATTCAAAATATATTTCTTTAAGATTAGAAAAAACAATTTAAAATTCTATTTAAGCTTTTAATAGTTCGTTAAGTTGAAATAGAAAAAATGCATAACTAAATAGATCGAATCTAATTGGTCTTTTGTTGTCCAATAGGAATAGAAAAATGAAATCTCTCTCTTTGTCTATCATCATACACAATCCATTTTTTCCCCGTGTTCTCGTGTTTTGATACTCTTGACATAGTTTACCAAAAATTTTATTGTAGATAAATTTTTTTTCTTTCAAAATAAAAAAGCAAAGAAAATGCTAGCTCATCTAGCTGCTAGTGGTCGATGTGCTACTCTTAGTACACTTCCTCGTGCAAATACATTAGCTGTTATCCGTAAGGCGTCATCATCAAGTGGAAATAAAAAAACTGAAGAACCAGTAGCTGTTTCAACACCAGCTGGAAGCAATGATCCAAATAGCTCACCAATGAGTCAACGACCATTACCCCCCGACGATGGCAAAGTCCGTAAGTCCGCATATCTATATTGATTTATGCAAATCTAATAACTTATTTCTTCAAAGGTTTTCCCAATCCTTGGGATGTTATCCTTAATAAGCGTCGTTTTGAATATGCTATGGTTTGTAATAAAAAATTATCATTCATGTATAAATCTATTTTATTTTCTAGAAATTCAAAGGATATGATGATCCATTCGATATGATGCCAGTTAAACGTATTGAAAACAGCACAGCAGAAAATCCAAATTTATTACCAAGTTGTAATGATAAACGTCTAATGGCTTGTATCTGTAAGTTTATTTTATGCATATTATTTATATATCATTTTCATCGCCACTGAGAAAGTTTTAAGCTGCTGTCGGAACACTGTCAACCAAGTTTAATAAGGCAGCTTTTCTTAGTCGCTTTTGCCAGGGAGAGTGTTGGTAAAATTTTTAACTTCTTCTACTTCTAAAAACCATCGAGAGTTCTGAATAGCAGCTTTTTTTTTTCTTTTTCAAAAAACATAAAAATGATTATTCCTATACATATGTTTATAGGTAATGAGGATGTATATCACTTGAAATGGATGCATCTTCATCGTGGTGAACCAAAACGATGTTATTGTGGTATGAAATAATTGATAAATAATTTTTTCTTTTTTGAGTATTAAATTTTGTCTATAGGTCATTGGTTCAAATTAACTGAACGACAATTTGTTGATTTAAGTGATTTTGGTATAACTGAAGATATGCAAAAACCTGCCGCCCATTAAAACTTGTCCTTTTTTCTATAATTAGACTATTGTAATCCTTCTTTAACTCTCACATGCTTTCGCTCTAGTTTGATCGTTTTTTTTTTCTTCGTGATCAAATTGAAATAAAAGAAAACCAAAACAGCATTTTCTTTTTTATCTTTGTTTTTTTTTCTTCTTTCTCTCTCTCTCTCTCTGAGTCATCTAAAGCTAATTAAATAAAAGAAGAATATGACCACAATTCTAGTTCTTCTTTTTCTAATATTCATTTGTCATACAATCTTTGCTGATTTATATCGAATAGTTTTATTTAATGATACAAATCTACAAAATAATATTTGTTATATGACAAATATAGAAAGTAAAAATAATCATTGGTGTGAATTAGTTACATCTGAATTAAATTTACCAACAATTAAAACATGTGTATCAATTTATGAAAACTTATCAAATCTTGATAATCAAACAATAATTAATGAATGGATTGATCGATCAATAGCAACAACAAATTGTTCATACTATCTTTTAACATCAATGACAATATCTCAAAAACGTATTTTAACAATAGTACAATCCATATTATCTTTTATTCTATTTTTACCATTTATTTTCGAATTAAGTTTAACAATTATTCAATATTGTTTTTATTAATATATCAATAAAAGAAAAAAAAAAAATAAATGTTTTATTATTTTCTTTCTTTCAGATATGACTGATTTTCAGTTGAGTAAAGATGATCATGAAGCATTGGAAAAGTTTACAAAATTTTTCTTAGTTAAAGCAGCACAAATTATTGTACAATCACGTTTAGGTGAAAGGAAAACAACAAAATCTAAACCTGTTTATTCCGGAAATGAATGGGTAAAAAACGAACACTAGTCTATAATAATAATTTTCAGAAAATAATCATATCTTTTTTAGTTTCATCTTTCAATTAAAGATATTCCAGAAGTTACTGTAAATGCAAAAAAATGTTTAGGAGATGCTCAGCATCTTCTAATCGATCATCCACATAGTCCATTTTGTGTTGAAATATCGTTACGTACACCTGATTGTGATACAATTACATTAGAAACATGGTGTATATCATTTGATGATTCAATATCCGATCCAGTACAACGTGTGCGATTTAATGTATATAATCGTATGAGTATTGTACTTCGATCTTTGCTTGCATGTACACGTGCAACACCAACATATCAATTATCACGTAAACAATCGGCTGATAAATATATTATTTGTTATAAAATGTATAGCGGTGAGCCTATTGTTAGTCATCTTGGTGAGCATTATTCAAAAAAAACAATTGGAAGCATAGTTACACCGATTGGACGTTTTGTATTGAATGTTGCTTATCGCACATGTTTAACAATGTCATCACCACAAATAGATAATGCAACAAGTAGTGCTATGACACCATTTGGTCTGGTTATTAAAGATGATCATTTTTCATTGGATAGAAATCAGCATTGTATTGAAGAGTAAGATGATTTTGCAGAGAGAAATAATATTGATCATACCAATTGCCTTGTTTTTCCAGTATCTCAATATGGTTTCAACAGATTAAGTTGTGGTTTTCGCCAAAATAAAGTTCTGTTTTCATAGTTAATCAGCTGTCAATGTTAGATATTTATTCTGCTGGATTAGAAATAATACGAACGATGTGCTTTGATTTGATTAAACAATTGATCATACACTACACGCAAAATAATTGAATATTTTACTTCATCTTTCATTCTTTTCAGAGAAATAACACATCAAAGTAAATACTTCACATAGAGAACTAATATTTCGAGAAGATAAACTATGAAATCAGGACTAAATTTTGGCGAAAACCGAAATGCAATTTATTGGAAACATCTTCAAATACAATAGTCGTAAAAAATACCTAAACTCGAATCGTTTAGTCTCATAGTTTGATCCCAACTAAAGTATGTTGAATTCTAATCGCAAAAATTGATCAGCCTTTGTACGAAGAAACTAGAACATTAACAGATTGTTTTTCTTTAGATGAGGATATGTCGAAATAGAAAACAGTTTTAGTTTGCTTGATTTATGAAGTATTCTTCGGGTAACTTCCACATAAGATTTGATGAAGATCGTTGAGAAGTAATCTATATCACCAAGTAATTTTAACCATTTGCCTTTAAGTTTTGTTCTAGTGATTGTCCTGCTCTAAGCAAGTTTTTCTTGAAAAATTCACGATTACAATCATCAATGGCGCATAGATCCTTGTTGAGATCTTGCTAGACAATGGAGGTTTTCCTGCGTCTTCAGATTAAAGCGAATTCGAGTACTCTATCTATGACAGAATATAAATGTGCAAAGCTTTATTTGTTAATCAGAAAACGGAGGTTAATGCACTTAAATAGGAGAAAACCAGAAAAGTGATAAAAAGCCAGTGTTTTCATTGCAAATGTTTTACATTAAGGTCTATTGATCGTGGGTTGCTGCTGATAATCTCCACTTGCAGTCGAAATATCAAATCAAAGGATTGAAGTTTATATATCTTTTACCCCGTACTGATACTTCTTGTGACAGTTTTATTAGAAAAACAAGGCGATCGGTTCGATGTATGATCAATTTTGAACGATACTATATATATATATATTTATTTTGTTTTTTAGTGATGGTGATGCGCAATTACCATCAGCACATAATTCCAGTGTACCTAAAAGTTCACCTATTGAAGTGTCAAAACGAAGACATACAAGTTGTGATTCGGTTTCTTCCAGTCATGGGTAAATTTAATTATAAAATTATATACTTTATAATTATATTTTTCTTTTAAGAACACCTGATCAAGTGTATTATTATAGTAAATTACGTGCAGCTTTTGCAACACCCGGTACAACAGCACATCCATCACATATGGGTTCATATACTCGTACGAATGATAATGATTTACCATTTGTACTTATGATGCAACAACAAGAAAACACTCATCAACAGCAACATTCTATGGAACAAGATCAATCACAAGAACAAAATTCAAAACATAATTTTTTTCTAGGTGGTGATTCAGAAAACGAAACAGCACCAGATGATTTTATTCTTGTTGAAGTGGTATGTGATTAATAAATAAATATTAATTTAATAATTCTAATTGATTTTTCGTTTTTTATCATTTAATAGAAGCCATTTTTTGGTAAAAGTGATTCAACAGATGATTTAGCTTTATTTATTCGTTCATGTCAACAACCACCAATGCTTGAATCATTTGTTGTTGAACCATCACTTGGTGAAACAATTGATCAATTAAATGAAGAATTACGTATATTTGAATCAAAAGTTGAAGAATTTGATCAACTTGTTAGCACTTTGGATATGAATCAGAAAGAGTGATTAGATACTGCAGAATGATTGACATATTGAACTAGCATATCTCTTATATAAAATAATACAACAGTGCTTTCGGATTAATTTGTCTGTTTCTTATTCCATTTTTTTCGACAACTGAATTATGATTCTTTATCCTTTTTTTGTACAGTTGAATAGAAAGAAAAAATTCATAATACTAATGAAACTATTCATTTTAAAAGTTAGCTGATAACCAAAACATATAAAATATGGCTTAAAATAAACATTATTTTTTCTTTAGTAATGAAGAATACTCTTGAAACTTACAGAAGGATCAATAGAAAAAAAAGCAAAATTTAAGAAAATCGTGAATAAGTCGTTGCTTAACATTTACCAATAGGCCTATAAAACTTTTATTAAACAAATATATAGTATGACTTATTAATGGTGCTGTAACATGAAAGAAAGAAACTTAGACAGACACTATTTCTGTTATTTATTGATAAAATTGCTATCGAATAAAAGAAATGTAGCTTCTATTGACACGTTTGATAAAGCACAAAGAAAGTAAATTAAACGAATTCTTAATAAATAAAACTCATACGCAATAAATAACTGGAAAATAAAATTGTTTATGATGTGTAAGAAACGTTAGACTCTAAACTATTCAATAATTATTTTGAATAATAAAATTTAATTGTTTATGCATTTTGAGAAAGTACACATGAAATGGTCAATAAATATTTCTTCAATTTTAACCTCATACGTTAATAAAAACAAAAATAGAATCAAAAATTTTGAATGAAGATATGAAATTTTACCTCAAATGTTCAAACTGGTATTCGTTACCATCAATGCACTGTTGAAGTCTGTCGGACACTACTCCACAAACTTTCTCATAGAGATCAGAGTTTAAATTTCGAAATTCANACCTGACTGCCCTGGTAATTTTTGTAATCGGATAATTCTCCGGAAAGCGTACCACAATTACATTGACTTTCTTCAAATGAAATGAAACTTTCTGAGTTTGTATTTGTAGGACTCGTCTATGTAAGCATAATCGTAGATTCTAAAAAATTTGAAAACCTTGCGTAGGGGTCTGAATCGGGAGGTCAACGTGAAGTTTCATAAGGTGTGGGCTGTGTCTGCGGGTGTGAGTGTAAAAAAAGAGAAGATCCACATTCGGACATCCATGCCCACACCCTGATTGATATATAATATATTTTAATTAAATATAATATAATATGTACATCTTGTAACATTCTTTTGAAATCATTTAATAAAGCATGGATATTGAAGTCAAAAAGGATTTTGAACCTTTATACAGGTTATCAGTTTTGTTTCCAGACATAATATCAATCTTTATGCCCTGCAGAGCGCTCTTCTCGAGCCGGTTCTGCCCTGAGGGCAGATCAGGGCAAAAACATGTTTAATGACTCATTGACAGGACAGCACAGGGCTAGATAAATCAGGGCAAATGCCGGTGCAGGTCAAAAAAAAACGTGTCCTGTGACGTTCTCTGGTATGAGTTATCAAATATTGACAGCGAAACACACATCGGTTTGAATATTCAATTCAACTATAGAGACTTTGGTGCAAAGAAATAGAGAACGGATCTTCTAGTCGAAAAACAATAAACGTAATCAGAAACAAATCTGAGCACACTGACTCTGCACCTAAATTTCTTTCATGTGACAGACCCATGTCAGATACCGCTAAAAGTACAAAAGATTAAGTTTCCTCGGTTCTATCAGCAGAATCTCAGACATTAACTCGTCGCATGAGTTTACTGTTAGATATCTCAAGGGCATCAATTCAATGTGTTTACAAAAGTTTGAAACGCAAACCTTACATGCTCAGATTAGTTCATGAACTCAATGAAGATGATTGTGATCAATGTGTCGAGTTTTGTGAAACTTTCCTCTGTCTTCTCAAAGAAAAACCTGATTTTGTTAAACATGTCATCTAGTCTGATAAGGTCAGATTCAAACTGAATGGTCAGGTCAATTGTCACAATTAAGTATATTGGACAACAAGAAATCCAAATATCAAATGGGAGCAGACAATGGGAGCTAAAGTACTCACTGTGTGAACTGATATTTGGTTTCAAGAAGCAGTCGGTCCTTTTTCCGACGAAATTATAACTTGTCAAAGCATCTGTCAATGCTAATGGACTACTTTTACTCACTCTTCTGTAGTCTACTAAAGAAACAGTTCATTTTTCTCATGCAAATAGGTGCATCAACGTATCATGCACTTGATGGTTGACAGTAACTCGAACAGAAATTTCCAGCAAAGTGGATTAGTCATCAAGATCCCATCAAGTGACCTACAAAATTATCTGATCTTACACCATCGAATTTCTTCTTATGGAGAAATGTCCAAGAAATCATGTACAAAAATAGGTCTCGAAGCCTAACTCATCTCAAGGAGTCAATTACCTTTGCATTTCGAAATTTAAACTCTGATCTCTATGAGAAAGTTTGTGGAGTAGTGTCCGACAGACTTCAACAGTGCATTGATGGTAACGAATACCAGTTTGAACATTTGAGGTAAAATTTCATATCTTCATTCAAAATTTTTGATTCTATTTTTGTTTTTATTAACGTATGAGGTTAAAATTGAAGAAATATTTATTGACCATTTCATGTGTACTTTCTCAAAACGTATAAATGGTTTAACATTCATTACTGGAATTCGTGATGGTTATTCAAAACATTATTCGTGAATGCTGTTCTTATAGAAGAAATCTTTAAATTCTTCTCTGTCACAGACAAGAAATTTGCGCCATATAGCGAAACAGAGTGGAGATATTCAAATATTTTATCATTTTGCTACTTATAGTCCACACTGTATAATATCATGTAAGAGCCATATTATTCGTGTTATAAGTAGAAGATGACAAATAGGTTTAAGATTGCTCATTCATCGTCAGAATGATTGAAAAGCATTTCACATATGAAATAAAATGAATAGAAATTATTTCGAGATATATACGTCATTTTAGGTAAAATGGAACATATTAATCGTTGATTTTGCTTTGATTCTTCGCAAGAAATAGTTTTCTGAATAAGTTTTTTTAATATATTTCGTATGTAACAAAAAGTTTCTTGAATAAGCACTAATAATGATTATAACCATAAAACGATTTTAATCAATAATTATATCTGCTTAAATTATTGATTATAATCGTATGATTATAATTGATTTTTAATCGATTACTAGTGATCATTCAAGACAAGAAGCCTTTTTTACATGAGTTATGTGTAAAACTATCACCTGTTTTAGTTGACGATTAATTAAAAAGTAGGGAGTAGATATCTCTCTAGCCATACAAGAAAGCATTCGAAAACTTTAGGATAGACCTACAACATGAATGGCATCTATGATGAAATGTTCAATGAGATCGGACTGAAAAAAGCTTTCTCCTGAAAACTGATTTTCTATAGATCCTAGCAAGGCCTGAAATAAAGATTTTTGTCTTACTGTCATCTGGAGATTCTGAAAACGAATTTATACTGTTTCCAATTGGTTTCTATAACTTCTCATTCGGTTATAACATAATCTTTTTTTGTTTGAGTATTATTACTCTGTGACGGTATCAACGCTAAGTAAATCGACCTTTTTTAAAATTTAGGCATATTCAGAAAAAAACTGTGAATAGAGATTTTGTAGTCTCAGAAGTTGTCTACAGAAGTACCAATTCGTTTTCAAAAATGCTATCTTTTTACTTCAAAATATTTTCTCACATATATTTCTTTTCAAACTCTGAAACAATTATCAAAGGATATAGAGTTTTACGGAGAACGTTGTAGCATATCCAAAATTTCATCGAAATTTTATCGAAAAATTTTCGTTTTTTAACCATCGCAGTTAGACGATTGAGTAAATTCTCATCTTTTAAATTTTGTGCCGACCAAAAACAATAACGCTATTTAAGAAAAAAAGACAATAGCTTCCTAGAAGAAGAAATTCGCTATTGAATGAGCTTCAAGCGAAACCTTTAGTGTGGGGAGAAGTACACTAAAAAAGAGAAAAGACATTGTTTCGCTTATCATTTGTCTTTTTTTATTAACATTTCAATGTGAAAATCTTCAAGATAATATTATTTTACGTAAAACTTATTAGAAAACACAAGATTATTGTCCTACACAGAACGAGATATGCTCTAAAATCTGAGTAGATCCAAAACGTTTTACACAAAATGTTTTGTTAATCAGGAAAATCAATTTTCTACAAAGCTCGCATATGAAGACCTAAGGAAGTTTCTCATAATCATATTCGGAATCAGCATGATCAATAGCTAACAATCCAATAGCTTTCGGTGAGAAAATGATTGAGATCAGCTGGAAGTGTTCCATCGTCAATATCTGCATTTTTATTATTCAATTTCAACAAACACAATAATTTCTTTTTGCTTTTTTTTCTCTTCATAGAAACATTACAGTTTGTAATAAAAATGATTTTAAAAAGTAAAATTATGTTAATCAAATACTTTCAAGTGTTTATATTAACATTAAAAAAATGATCTGTTCGAAAGGCCAGAACACAAGAAATTTATTTGCTGAAGAGCGATATCTATCGGATTATGTAAAATAACTTTTTTCGTTTGTCAATCAGTAGACAGACAGAAAAGAAACCTTCAATGATTCATTATTCTCACATCCTACCTTTACGTCTAGATATTCCTTTTTTATTTTTATTGTGTCATCGGATGTGATTTTGTAATATTTTTCATGGGTAATTTATTCTCGCGACATAAGACACGTTTGATACCTGATGAAGATGATCAATTTTTTGATTGTCTTAATGATGACGAATCACATGAACATAATGAACAAATTAGTGAAAATAATACAAAAACAATTTCACATTATTATGCTGTATGGATTCCATCGAATGTTGAAACTACAGGTAAACAAAGGAACAACAATTTTTTTTCTTTTGTTTTTATTTAAAATTTTTATTTAGAAAACCAATTTATTTTTGATGATATGAAAAGTGCTTTTACTCTTTGTAAAAAATATAGTAAACATAATAGTCGAGTGAAAATTTTTGCTAATTATCATGATGCAGAAAATTTTATTCAACAAAAACGAAATAATACAACGAGTAATGATGATGTTAATGTATCAGTTGAACAAATAACAAAACCAATAAATAATGATGCAGAAAAATTGCCATATAGTGATGTACCAACATCTGAACTAACAAAACTCTATAATATTGTTGAGAAAGGTGATGAAAATGAATTTGAACGATTAATTTGGTCAAATCCTCGTTATTTAATAAGCAGTGGTGACTCACCAACAATTGTCAAAGTAAATTTTCTTTTTTTTTTCTATTTGAAATAGATCTAATGGTAATCCTTAGATTTCAGTTCGATATAATAGTATGCATGTTGCTGCATTATCTGGCCAATCTTCAATAATTCGCATATTAATTAAAACAATAAAAAATGTTCATTTTATTCGGCGTCTTTATATTAGTGATACAGAAACACAAACACAACAACGTATTAAATTTATTCTTGATATGTATTTAAATACACCAGATAAAATGGTGAGAAAAAAAAGAACAAGAGACCCTATCGGACTAGGTGATGCATTCAAAATTGAGAAACTAACTATGTCATGTTGTAGAACAAGTCGAGACGCGTTGTCAAAGCATAGTACTCAGTATCAGTCAAAAGTGTTTGTAAAAATTCTTTTTATATACAGTTTTATAAAGCTTTTCGCGGCCTATAAACTCATATACTTAACATCTCCGATACGCAAAAATGCAATTTTTCAATGATTTATCATCGTTTTTCCACGAATCAGTGAGTTTTCGTGTCTTCAATAGTGTCGACCATAGAAGATGTGACCAGATGCCAAACTTTCTCAGGAATTACCCGCGATGTAACATTACAAAACACACTATTTAGAAGTTGCCCAAAATAAAACAGAAAAATTGGATAATAGTTCTCAATGCAAGATTATTTGAAATATGATGAATAATTTCTAAGAAAGTTCGATGCCTAGTCACATTTGAAATTCTCGACATTGAGACTTAAAAGTAGGGAAAAAAGTAATAAGTCATTGAAAAATTTCATTTTTTCTATCACAGATAGAATGATCCGAGATATTAAGTATATGAGCTTGTACGCTGTGAAAAGCTTCAAAAGACGATATGTAATAAAACATTTTGCAAACACTTTTGGCCAATACCAAGGAACATGCTTTGGATGCATAGTTGTCTATCAGTAAATTGATTCTAGTCCCTTCAGTCTTATGAAAGTAAGATTTACTATATACAACTTGACGAGTCTCAACGTGTTCTACAAGATGGCATATATATAGTTTCTTAATTCTGAATAGGTCTCCTAATCCAACAGAATTCTTTTTTTATTTCATTTTTAATATTCCAATTCTTTTTCTTTTAAAATAAATAGCAAAATGAAAGTCCACTTCATCTTGCATCGAAATTTGGACATTATGATGCCGTATGTGCTTTACTTGATGAACCAAGTTGTAGTAGAGATGCAATCAATAAAACTGGTTTAACAGCACGTGATGTAAGTTTTGCAAGTTATGTGAAACAAAAAAATTAAATTAAACTATTTATTTAGATTGTTTGCAGTCGAGCAAAGGATAAATCAAAAGAAAAAAAAATTCTTCAATTATTCGAATGTAGAATTTTTTATTTTGCTTATCCACTTTTCTTTATATAAGTTTGATCTATTTTAGCTATTTATTATATTCCGATTTATAGTCGAAAAGTAACGATGGAAAAAACCATTTCAAAACCAGTTGATGAAACAACATTTAAACCACTTTTAAATATGATTCAACAAGGTGCATCTAATCTACCTATTGAATCCGAGAATGATCTGACATTAATTGCCTTTGCTGGTCCAACAACTTATGATTTGGTTAGTAAAGTTTTCTTCTGAACAATAAAAATTCATCTTACAAAAAGCCAACATTTGTTTTTCAACGGACATTCTCAATGAGAAAACAATATCTCAGTCACGTTAAAGTGATGTGTAACAAAATTTTGACTGGAGATAGCTACAGCATTGAGCTTTCGAATAAGGAGTTGAACGAAAATATTTGTGTTAACATGACTGAGATAAGATGATCACAAGAAGACGATGATGTCTGAAGCATAGCTCCAGTACATGCGAACCGATGAAAGGCGATTTAGTGTTTGTGATCAGAGTTTATTGTCACACGTATGCTGAACATCATAAAGAATAGTATCATTTCATGCATTGTACAAACCAAGTGTAGAATAATAAACCCTTTCTGTTGATAAATCTTTCCAAATCTTTTTACCCGATTGCAAATTCATGTATCCTCGTAGTATTTTCTGTGTTAATAAACTCTGTTTGGATATATGAAAGTGTAGATTATTCTCATAAATCTAAAAAAAAAACGGTTTTTGTAATGGTAATAAACGGATAGTAAGGGTTTATTACGCTACACTGTTATCAGTGTGAGAGAAGGGACTATTACTCTTGTCTAGAACTATAGGATACTATTAAGTCGATTTTCCTAGTTTTTATCCTTTCGTATTGCCTACATCATGAACTTCTAGGATACACGGCATGAATCGGAAACTTTCTTTGTATGTTGTATAAAAGTAGTAAAATGTATTATTTAAGATCTACCGATAAGAAGGTCAATGTTTCTTCCAGCCGGACAAAAATGTAAATATTTTATGTTTTTATTAATTTATTAAATAAGAATAAAGTATGAATATTAGATATAAGAAAGTTCTGGCACACTAGTTTTATCAGAGCTCTATTTTCTCTTTCTATAGAAACAAAAAAAATACTTTCTTTGTAATTAATAGGCTATGAAATTCTACACATCAGTTTCAACTTCAACACGTGGCCAAGCCCGTCGTGCCCAAAGTCTTTCATCATCACCAAAAAGTCCAGTATATATTGTTCGTAGTGATGCTGAAAAAGGTTTGGAACGTATAGCTCGAAGTTATGCATTGGAGAGTTATTCAATAAATTGGTGTGAATATTGGCCATTTCTTGATACATATGTAAATTTATCATCAAATGACGGTATTCGACTATTAGAATATTATCTTCAACAACGTATTTTACATTCTCAAATTTTAAAAACAATAAATCAATTAGAAAAATTTTCAAGTCAATATTTGTTAATTGAAGAAGAAAAAATTTCTAATGAAAATGATTTAATACTTAATTCTATATCACAATTAATACAATCATTTTATGCATTAATTGATTTATTTTATTTAAATGATTTTGTATTAAATCGTAATTATCGTCAACATCTTGAATATGGTGGTTTTGAAAATCAACAAAATAATGAATTAAATACAATTAAAACGAATATTATTAATCAATTACAATGGTTATCAACAGAAAATAAAAATATTTTATCTTTATTTACTCGTTCATTACTTAATTGTTTAACAATGGTGTTTACATTAATTATAAGTCCATCAGGTTGTGCATTAATTGATCAAATACAACATAATCAATATGAATTACGTCATAATCAAGAAAAAATTCGTCCAGCATCGAGACTTAGTTTAATTGGACTTGTTTGTCCAAAACGAAGACAATCTCGCCGTTCATTCAAATCTCAAAAGCAACAACAACAAATGATACGAGCAAATTCTTGGCCAAATTTATCATCATCATCCATAGATGTATCGAATTTTCGGCGATGTCATTCTCAAATTGAACTTAATAAAAATAATAATAATTATTCATCATCAAGTTTATTAAACGAAGCAACAAGAAAATCACTTAGTGATTTAGCACAACAATCGCTTTCTACTTCACATACTTCATCAATATTTTCATCACAAACAAGTGTAGATATGCTAAGAGAAGATGATAAAACAAAAATTCAAAAATGGCATTACTTCTTAGCAGGGTAAAAACAAAATTTTGTTTTGTGCATTCAGTGCATCAAGGTCTGAAACTGTCAAACCCAAAATTTTAACGTCAAATAACCTTTCTTTCTAAAGTTAGGCAATGTCAACTTTTTACCGCTATCATATATCTTATGAGAGAAAAAACAAAATGAGTAATATCAATAAAGTATAGTGTTAACCGATTCAAGTTTTATAAAGTTAACGTGAATGAAAAACGGCTCTTTCTTTGAATCTAATGTATCCGTTTGATATATTATCTATCTTCTGTCGGGATTCAGAATCAGCGTGTTCTAAACTGAATTTTATATATGTTAAGTGATTAATCAGTATATTTAGCGATTTTGATTGCCATGTAGTTGTTGACGCTAATTGCCAATGTAACATGTATTTTGCTTTACAATTGTGTTATAGCAACGAAAACCGCTAAATATATTTTCTATGGAAAAATGTTTATGTAAGAGACAGATTTGAACCCACTTTCACCGAGACGGTACCATTTATTTACGGATATATTTTTTCACCATTTTGTAGAAAATAACAAGTTGCATGCATATCATATATAAAATTTAGTCTAAAACTCTGATACTGAATCCCGACAAAAAATAGATTGTTATCGGATGGCATGTTAGACTGATCGAAAAAGCCATTGTTCATTCGTCTTAGTCGTATAAAACTTGAGTCAGTTAACACTGCATTTTATTGACATTATTCATTTTGTTTTTCTCTCATAACAATATGATTGTGATAAAAAGCTGATATTGACTAACTTTGGAAAGAAAAAGAATTGAACGCTAAAATTTTGGGCTTTGTGGTTTCAGACATTTAATGAATTGAATGCACAAAAAATAGTTTCATCGATTGTCTCATATACTCGACTATTTCATCATTTCTCTCTTAAAATCTTATGTTTTCATATTTATTTTAGTTCCCAACCAACAAAACTTGATGCACATGTTGTACGTGCAATAGATTTAAATAAGTCAATAAATATGAATATTCGACAACAATATCGTCTTTGGTCAAAATGGCATCAAGCTGTTCAAATGCGTCCAATTGAAGAACAAAATTTATGGACAACGCCAATAAGAAATTCGTCACCATCAAATCGAAAGGTGAGAATCGAGCATGTTTACTATCACCGCTCGTTAATCATCAATTCACCTTAATCTAACCATTTCTGCTTTGATGATGTTTGTGATTGTATATACATATCAAAATCATTTCGCTTTTTTCATGTGCTATTTTCTTCTATTTTTTTTTGTACATATTTAAATACACAGAAAATCAGATAAGAATAAAAATCCCTTTTCATCACACAGGTATCACATCCTGGTGAAAATCAATCGTCTTTATTAAAGATGGTAACACGACAAGCATTGAAAAGAAAAGTAAATAATCGTGAACAACCACCAGTGTTAACACAAGACAAAATTATAGAAAAAAAACGATCGAAAAAGTGATTTATTTGTATAACTTTGTTTCGTCAATAGTATTCTTCTATTGTATACTTTTTTCATTGTTATTTTCATTTGATTTTTGATAATGATTTCTTTCAAAAACATTATAATTGAATTCTATTTTAGGTATATGAGCTTTTTTAAATCATTGACAAGATTAAATTGAATATTATTTGATTATCGTATTCTTTGACGTTTTAAGAGGGTGTTTGCCAGAACACCAATGAAAATAAGCAGAGATCGGTTGAAGAAAAATATTAGATTTTGAATTGATTTGTGTATTCGAAATTTTACAAAAAGTTGTTATAAAAGCCCAAATATCATCTCATTTAGGTTTACTTATTCAAATAGAAAAACTACAATTCTTCAAAATTTCGTATCATACTCAAAAAATTGACTTTTCAATTCTGCTCGTATTTTGCAATTCTTTCCTGCGGGCATTTGATGGTTTCCGGAACAAAACGTTTTTGATGATAGAAACTTCTTTCTCTACAAAGTAGTCTATATCTATTATTTTTTCAATGTCACTTTTTATGAGAAAGGAATCAAATCAGAGAAAAATAAGGATAGAGTTTCGATGATGAATTTTAGTGCTATAGCATAAAGTATTAGCAAAGTAAGAGCAAATTATGCTGGATTTAAAATATGTTGTAGTTCTAAACATGGTACATCTTTTGATATAGTTTTCTTTGAGAAATTTTACCAGAACGTTATAAAACCTTTCTTCGCAAAAGATCGAAGATAGTGTTATTTCATTTGTTTGGCAATATAGCATTACTGAATCATTTTATGAATAACTTGAGAATACAATCATTTAGATAGCTTGAAGTTTTACAATCCGAAAAATAATATGAAAGCTGATGATTTGTGTTATATTTGATGAATTGTTGAGTTAGTCATCATTGAGCATTTATCGTTCAACAACTTAAGAAATCATAGAATTACGTTTCACATCTTGTCAGTTGGTCTCGAAGTGAATTTGATTAATATCATACTATGTCAATGTCTTTGTTTCATAACTAGTATGGTTTTTTCTTATAATTTATTTTCTTTTGTAAATGTACATATTTGTTAAACATGCCGTATTCTGTCTTCTTTCAAAAATGATGCAATTTATTTACCTATTTCTCTCGTTTTTTATTGCTATCTTTCTTTTTTTATACTCTTTACTAGCAATCACAGATATAATTCCTAGTATCAATTAAGCAGCAATATGTATGTATGAGTATGAAAAAAAGTCCAAAACATGATGGAAATAATAAGATGAAAAAGTAGAAAATATATCATCGAAATTAGTAAACAGGAAAAGAAAGAAAACAAAGTTATTTGATACAGATGTAAAATAAACAACAAAATAAATGATAACAAACTATAGCAAAATATATTTTTAGATTTGTTTTATTTAGATGACTTATAATTCTATCTTTAGTTTTCAGCGAGTATTACTTGCCATCGTCAGAAAAAAAGAATCAGAAAAAACAAAAATTTACACAGGTGAAGACAAAAATAGATAGGAAGAAAGAGACGATATTTTCAAAAATATCAATTCTTCCTTTCTTATTACACTTCGTAATATTAGGTTTAGTGTAGATGTGGATCTTGTTCTCTTTTTAATCACAATCTCAAGGCAAAATATTGCAGACAGATAAAATTGATCGAATATTTGAGCAGACAATGAACTCATTCTCTTCTTCACAATTTATTTTTACTCATTCAATATGACACATAAATCTTATCATGTACTAGTGTATCGAATCTTTTGTTAGTATTTAAAATTGAGTAAAGTACATTGATATTGTTCAACTTATTTTAAATAATACGCATTTTTTCTTTCGGCAGACTCATCATATTTATCATGGAGGAATTCATATTTGTTGTAGACAAAGTTGATGCTTTATAATTTTCCTAGAATTTTTCGAAGTAGAATTAGAATTCCAGTAGTTGTTTCCTTTTAGAAACCATGCTCACTTTCACGCAATCTTTAGTGATGTGTTAAGCATATTGAATAGTAAGAGCCTCTGTGTTTAGAGTAAATTAGGATCGTGATTCCAAAGTTGCCTAGTGACATAAATATAACATTAACAATGAGAACAGATTGTGATGACCAATATAAAATGATATAAAATAATATTCAATCAAAACGAAAGTCATGTTTCGTCGAACACACAATTCAAATTTAGTTCACTATTGTTAGAACACTATTATGAGCAAAACTCTATTTGGAATCAAAATGAATCTTTCATTCCAGCAAAAGTTTGACTGAAAACCATTTAAAAAAAATATTAACCATGTATAAAAAGAAACCGTGAATCCATTTTGAAGTCGATTAAAATAGTACTTTTTTCTCCCATTATGATCTCATTGTAAACTTATGTTTTTGCGTTTTTTCTAATTTTCAATATTTTCTCTAAATCTCTTTTATCGAATAAGAATGTTAAATTTTTGTGAATCAGTTAGGAAGAACTTCAATAACAAAATCTTGACAAACAGAAAAACTGACATTAAGGACCAAATATCCAATTATAATCGATTTAAAATAGTGTCATCTTAATTGATAATTATTATTTGAAATAGTTAAAACAAAAAAGAAAATTATATTAGTATTAACAACACAACGAACTGGAACTATTTGACGAATATTAATTCAAAAAAAGAATTTTTCGTTGAAAATTGTTTAGGATTACCTGAGATGTTAAATGTTCATATGAAAGGAAAATTTATTTCAGAAACAATTTAGAGAACTAAAGAACGCTTGGAAGAACCGATTAGTTTAATAAAATATAGAAATGAATTTCAATATCAGCTATCAACATCGATGGATGATAAATATGATAAGAAAATTTGTTTTTCTTGAGAAGCTACATGAGACTTTCGTGTTATTGAAAAGTTTCTGTTCGAAAATATATTTGGATCTTTTTCATTATCTTAATTAATTACTTCTTCAAAAAACTAGTAAACACTTGCCATTTGATATTTGGCTCATTCCATTTGCTTTATTCATAATCAGTAATTAACATTTAAATTAGTTTTCTTGATCGTTTTGTAGAAATAACAATCGTTTGTAACAGATAAACCAAATGTGACAGCTAGAGAGATAATGGAAGTATTATTACTCCTTCATGTAAGATTTCGAAAAAGTTTTGTAAATGTCACGAAACTTTTTTTCTCAAACAATAAGTTTTTTAATCTATAAGTGATGATAAAAATGTAGGTGAAACATTTCGTAAATTACTTGATTCTCTTTTACTTCAAAGTTTAATTAGATAATTGATCATTTGTTATAATGAAAAATATAAAACTTATTATAACTTGTCGGTGATTCCAACAATATCTAGAAATTTTCTATCAATTGTGAATATTAAAAAAAAGTGGTCTTATTGCAAAAATGTTGCACTTCTTGATACATTACGATACTATATGAAGGAAACTGAATTCACGACAAAAATTTTCAAAACATATCCAATATCTTCAGAAGATAATTGAATCCAAGTAATCTCATGATGAAAATATTCTAAACGAAGACAAAAAATACTAGAATTCTTACTAAATGAACTTATTCTAATACTGCTATTAATTGATTGATCTTCAACATAAATGATTGGATGAAATATGTGAAGTACAAGATGCATTTACGATTATTGAAAAACACAAAAAGTAGCAATAAAATATTAAATATGCATATTATTTGACTGGAAATATAAAGTCGAACCATCATAATCAGATACTCATTCGTCTGTATGTTAATATCTAATATAAGTTACTATAGCTCTAATCTTCTTGTATGTTTTCTGTATAGTCACACATACACACATGTGCAATTCTATACTTGAATTAACTCGTATCATCGGCGATAAAAAAGAATATCTGTCGCGAGTTCAGAGATATTTCAGTCGATTGTTTTTTTTACTCGATTTGATATAACAAGTTAGGCTGATTTCTATTTAGACTTTGCAGTGAGAAACTATCTTAGATTATTAATTAATCCTGAGAGCATGGTTTCTTTTCTATGTTTTCTTGCAACACAAGATTCAAAATACTTGCGACGAACTGAATATATACATCTATGTACATTTTATCAAAAGAATGATAGTATGTGCGGCATTGACATATCGCAGCAAGATACTTGGTGTTCAAAAAGTCAATATTTGTGTACATTGTAAGATCAATTTCATTTGATTAAAATACAAAACGGCACAGAGTGTGGCTATCGGTTGGCGTTAAGAGAAGAATCATTCTCACACGCCGTCTGAAGAATAAAAATTAAAATATTTATTTGAGAGCGGATGTATGACATTTGTTGTTCAAATGATCGCAAATGTTTTTGAAAATTGTTACTTTGAAAATATTTGCTTGATGCATATGTTTTATTAATGCGTCGAACAACGGTAGCCGCCATTCATAGCGATGGACTACTTACGTTTTATTTCATCTTAACTACGTGTAAGTGTGTCAAAAGTTATCGCAATTATGGATCACAGTACAATCGTAGTTACGGCATAACAATCCTGCAGTCCGATAGTAATCGAAAACACATGCGATGATGTATTTTATTTCGATCTGAATTTAAAGCAAAAAAAGACACTCCATTTCAAATTGAAATGGGGATCTACAGAGTCTTTTAAATTACTCATATGAATACATAAGTGTCCCAGAAGTTTTGAAACGACTTTAAAGATTCATTGTTCTCGTAATCCATAAAAGCAAACTCTTTGAAACCTTATTAGTTTATTGTACATCTCTAGTGCTATACAACCACCAGATTTGAGATCTACAGCTTTTATTATGGGTGAGAACCAGTAAGTGCATTGCTATGGACTAGTTTTTCGATTTCCTCAATCATCTTGGTTAATATTTCTAAAACAATAGCACTTTTCGAAATAAAAAGAAATCCACATCAAGTTACCAATGTTCGTGTATTTGATGATCATGCTTATCAGTTATTAATTTTAATCGTGCTGATATTTTACCAATCATTCATTCACATAAAGAGACATTAAATTTGTTCAAATTCTTTTTAAGGCCACTTTTCAATTATCGTATATTACTGTATTTTTGCCATCGTAATTTCTTCTTTAATGCACTCTACATGTTGTCTATAGACTTAACATCGGCTAACCTTGTAGCACAATATATTGATTTAATTCGATTAATAAAGTTTATTTAGAAAAGTTCTATTGTTTTCAAAATACTAATCAAGATAATGGGGAAAATCGAAAAAAGTCTATAACAATGTTATTACTGGTTTCCATCAATATTAAAAACTCTAGGTCTCAAACTGTATAGTTATATAGGACTAAGCATGTACAATGATCTGGTAAACTTTCAAAGATGCTGGTTTGTTGAATGCAAGAGCAATGAATTTTTAAACTATTCCAGAACTTCTGGGACACCCATTAGTATACATCGGAACTATCAACAGGTTACTTTTCTTTATCTCTGCTCCAGGGCTTCAGGGCAATTTCTGTGACTTTAAACAGCTTCAAGACATTCTTCAATATCGTGAGACCTCAAGACTGAAGCTTCTATTGTATTCCCTTCGAATATCAACTTGCCTAACGTATTGCGACATCAACAAAGTAAAGCAATTAAATGAGAAGATAATATAGAGTTCGGCTATATTTGAGAGGTGAGTGTTGTTTCACGTCCAACAGCTGTTCGATTCATCCTAATAGAACACAAGCAACAATCTAAAGAGCTCTCGTTGTATTCATGGCTGGAAGACAATCAAACTTTATTCTAAGTTTCATACAGGTCCAGTTCCATAAGAAGGGACGCCTAACCGTGCCTCGTCAAAATTCACCGGATATTCTATTTGAAATCTGAATTTATATCATTGTCTTTAGTTTAATGAATTCTTGAACATCAACTTGTCAGTGACAGAATGGTGAGGAGAAAATGAACAGTGTGTTAATACGAATGTGCTTGATTAAATGGTCACAAGTTCTGTGCACAATTTGAGTCATCTCAAACGCGCAGGTTGTGCAGAAGGAGCAGCCGCGCATAAGAATACCGGTCAAAACTTACATGGAGAGTCTTGACAGTCGGTACAACGCAACGATCAGTCACGACTTTTGTGACTTCGTTTGCATTTTCTGTATTAGTTCTGCACTAACGACTGGCCCTTTTATATTTTTGAATAAAAATAACCGCCTCCCCCACCCCCGAGTGATACCAAGTTTATTAAGATTGAGTTGATATTTTGAGTGCACTTGATTCATGATTAACTCCGGTCGCTAGCACTGACCGGTCCTTCATCGGTTGCTGTACAATGAAGTTATGCATCGAGCATTGTCTTCACTGTTTGATGACTTTATCTCAGCCGTTCGCGGCATGTTCATATTCCCGAAAAAAGAAATTACCAAAATGTGCGACATATCCACAAGTTCGACAATCACATCACTGTATAACTGAAAAGTTTTTAGAAATATTAGAAATTTCAGTAATTGTAGAAATTCCGATCATTTCGGACATCACATCATTTTGGAAAGTACAGAACCATTTGAATACAAATGCTTAAAATTTTGAAATCCTCGAAACTTCTCTTTTTAGAAATCTGAACACTGCTGCATCGTTCTGGTACATTTAGTTTTGCGAAACCTTTCACTCAAAGTCCTTCATTGAAATTATCACCAATGCGAATTTCGCAGAAAACTATTTTCACATAGTTGAGATATGGTTCTTCTCAATAAGGATTGTTGTCCATCAATTAAATCTTGTTTTCGGCTAGGTACTGGCAACTCAGGATGGTCTTGACCAATTACTTGCAAATTTTAGCAAAAAGCCCTCATGGTTGCTTGAGTATTTACTGAAAGCTTCAGAACTGCTACTTCAAATAAAATCAATATAGAACCATATGAAGCCTTCTTCATACCATTGTGAATGGTTTCGGTGTGGTTGACAATGTACCTCTTGTTTCCACACACACTGACACCCACACCTACCCTCTGTTACACACTTAGCTAATAATGACTTCTTTAAAGACCTATTACCAATGCAGAGTGAATTGTACACTGGGGACCAATTAAATTTTCTCCAGTTCATTATTATTACCGTAACTCGTTTATTTTTAAAAATATTATATTTAGCGGAAAGTATAGAACGCACTACATTTTATGATAAACTCACCTTGAACAGCATATAAGTTTTAAAGCAAAGAATTGTATGACTAAAAAAAGTAGCATCTTTTGTACAATGGACAGTGTGAATTAATCGAATTTCTCACCTTAAGATTATCTTTTGTTTATATTTGATTATCATAATAAAGTATTTACATATGTACGATGGAGGTTTCTGAGCAAAAATAATGTACTCAATCAATTTTGTATTTTCAGATTCATTATTATTAATTGAGCACAAGTATTAGAAAATTATCGTAAACTGATTGCTTGTATTGTGCTGATAGCATGAAGCAATAGATACACAAGTTGAAGAGCAAAAAATATCTAAAGATCGCAAGGAAAATATCTGGTATCTTATTCGATGAACGAAGAGGAACTTTTGAACTAAATTGAGACAATAATAAGATGCCAACAATTCGATCTTCGAGAAAAATTTTGTTAATGGTTTCTCAGCACGGTTTGATAGAGTTTGTGAAGTTACCTCGAAAGATATTGTTGTTGACATATTTCAAATTTTTTGTAGGGGAAATTAGGAAAACAGCATTTTAAAAAATCAAAACTCCTACAAAGACTCGTATGCGTCAAAAGCACTGCATCTCGCTAGGCTATATATTTATCCAATCTATCTTTTTTTTCGTTTCACTCATCATACGGTTAGGAAAAAATTAAAGTTAAAATATGATAAAAACTTGTTGTGAGTCTTGAATCTAGTATTCAGTGCAGATTGGTTTTCCCGATTCTGTATATAGTGTTAATTTCATTTGAAATGAAAGTTCTGATGGTACCCGAATTTATTGTTTTCTGCCATGATATAAAAAAAATTGCTTTTCTTAACAACCAAACAATGTTTTTCAAAAAAGATACCAAGATTTTTTTCCTAATCATATGATGAATAAAACGAGAAAAAGGCATATTAGATGAATATTGAACATAGCGAGACGGAATGCTTTTGGTGTCTTCCGGTTTTTTAGGTTTCTCTATTTTTTTTAATGTAATTTTCATAATTTTCGCAACAAAACCAGTACTTGAATATGTCAAAAACGAAATTTTTTTTGGCAATTCAATGAACTCTATCAAACTAAGAAAAAAGCTTTTAAATTTGTTTTTTATTATTGGGACCTTAATATAAAGAAAATTATTTGTCCCTTTCATTCAAATGTATACTATCCAAAGACTATTTCTGTAACACTGACTTTAGACTTTTTTTAATATTCAGAATTTTCCCCACATCCGCATAATTCATTCTTCTTTTCTAATAACATAATTTATTCTAAATCTTTCAAATAATTTCTCAACAGGATTCAAAAGAACATCGTCATATTTCGTAATTTTGATCTGCCCAAAAAAAGGTATTCAATTTATAGAAAGCAAAGAAAAAGGCTTATACATATGCATAAACAAATACAAGAACTAAAACACTATCCATTTCGTCTCAAAATTGGTTCTCGTACAAAGAAAATGATTGATGCAGCAAGCATACTAATCAGATAAAATATAAAACAAAGTCGATCAACAATAATAGCTAAAATTTTCCATTCTTCATATATATCATATAATAACTGTGAATGAATATTTTGTTTTCTTGCATGTATTGATAGAAGTAAACGTTGACATTCGAGTATTTCACGTAATATAGAAACTTTTAATTGTTCATCATCAATTCTACTTGGATCAAATTGTGTTTGCATTTTAAGTAATATTTGTTCTATATTATGCGTTAATGAATGTTGCTGAATTGATGTATGAGTCATGCCATCTTTGTCATAATCATCGATTGGTGTTGCTGTCGTTGTTGTTGTTGTTGTTGTTGTTGTTTTTGAAAGAAGAGGTAATTTGATTTTACTATGTTTATCATTTCGACTAATAATGTCACCATTTGAATTATCTCGACGAGTAGTACGTCGTGCAAAACTTTTAGTAGGATTTGATGGAGAAAGTAATTGTTCATGACTAATAAAATGAAAACCAAGCCAATGACCAATTTTACCCATTACTATACGACGACACCAACGAGGTACACGTGATTTTTTCGGTCCACGATAATGAAAATTAAGTACGACAACTGTAAGAACAACGGAAATAAGCACCAATATTAAATTGACATTAAAATATATACCTAAAAGACATTTTGCAATCATTAGTGTAGTTTCTCGTCTTCGAACTTTCAGTACTTGCAATGCTCTAAATTATTTTTCTCTATAACGTAAATTACTAAGACATACAAAAGAAGTTTCTTACGAAGGATTCACTAGAGATGATGCCTTGCGTTTGATATAAGACCGCGGTCATGAAGTAGAGCCTACTGAAAATAGAAGAAGTCTAAAAGGATTCTTGTCCATGCGCTGCCTTTTTGAAGTTATGGGTGTTACATTGGATTTTTTTTTACATTTGGCACAGTATTCATAAAAAATACCGAACACACAAGTTTAGGCCTAAAGCATTATTCATAAACAGCTCTTGAAGTCATTAGAGTTTCCTTAAAATTTTCGCCAAAAAAGAATGGTCTCTACTTGAGATATGAAATCAACAAAAACCTATGATATTTTACCAAAAAGGACAAAAAAATCTAGTTTTTTTTTATGCTGTTTATGAACAAAACGTTAAGTATAAATTCGTGTCTGATTTTTTCTGATAAATACCGTGCGCAAGGTCAAAAATTCAGCGTAGGTGCCATAACTGCAAAAGGACAACGAATGGGCAAAAATCCTACTAGGTTTCTTCTATTCTCAGTAGGCTCCACGTAATGGTTGTGATCTCATTTCAAATGCGAGGTAATTATTATCTAGGATGGCTTCTTCGTTAGTTACTTTTTTTTAATGAGTTGGATTAAATGCTTGGTATTATATACAAGTTATCAGTAAAGAAATCAGACTATCATTATAAAAATTAGGACTCAGTAACTAATTCAATTTGCTCATTAAAAAAATTGATTTGCTTATTAAATGAATAGTACTTGTATCAGTAGTCATTTTTATTGGTTCGATGAAAACATTGTCCAATAAATAGACGAATTTTTCTCCATGTTGGTTGAATATGAATATTCTCTTCACCCTCATTTCACACTTACACTCAATAAAATACAAGCTCTTTTAAAATATTTAGCTTACCAATAATAGGAAGATTCGAAGAAGCTTTTGGTGTATAATCGGAAATAAGTTGAAGAAAAACTGTTAAAGCAAGAAGAATTGTAATGGTTAATGTAATTTTTTCACCTGAATCCGGTGGAAGCCAAAAAACAAATAATGTTAAACAAGATAATATTGAAAACGGAAATATCATATGATTAACATAGAATTGATAATTACGTTTCATATTTATATGAAATACAAGCCATAAATAACGATTCATTGTAGCATTTCGTACAACGATTTCATAAACTTGCCATTCTGTACGAATATATTGACTTTGTTGACGAACATTTTGTGGTTGATGTCGAACTAATAATTCATCAGATGGGCGTGACCATGATTGAATTTCAAGTGTACAATTTTGTTTATCTAACAAATAAAAATTAAATTCAAACAAAAAAAATTAAACATGAAATAATTACCAAATGGAAAATATGTTATGACAACATCACAATAAGATCGAAATACATCTGGATAGACCCATTCAACTGTACCATTCCAATGAACAGTTAATAAATAATGTTCACGTCGTTGAGAATAAGCAACATCAGCTGAATTGAATAGAACAATGTCAGGTGTCCAAATTTCAAGTGCAGAAAAAACTGTACGATTTTGATCATTATATTCACTGGGTAGCCATCGTAAATGTTCGTCTTGCCATTTTAATGTAACTTGAACATTTGTTGTCATTACTTGATTTTGTTCATCCTAAATTTTGTTTGATAAAATAAAAAAAGACAAAGATTTGTTCATTAAAGAAAGCTTGTTAGTAAAGCCTTATTAAGGTTGAAATGTGGGTCTCACATGTGCTCTTGCGCTTCAATATACTAAGCAAAAATCAAAAACTGAATTATTTAGAATATCCACAAATGTATTCCAGCCATTCAAATTTCGAGAGAAGTCTAAGTCGTGTCGTCAATGCTGTTCAGCAATTTTTTCCATCCCTAAGAAACCCTGAGAAAAGAGTCCGATGTCTGTTGTCTTCGGTAGCTACGGTCAATAATGAGGGCAGTCGCGATGTTTCAACATAAAATTTACACTCACTGTTTTCTTCGAAAATATATATGAATTCCACAAAAAAAAAACTATCTTACTAAATTCATCACTTGAATGATGGTAAGACCAACATCAACCACAGTTACTGTTGTTGTATTAATAACTGGTCGAGCTTCAGGTACATAACTTTCAAGTAATATTGAACGTAATCGAGATTCATCAGAATTAAATTGAGGTACTAAATAAAGAAAAAAAGAAGTGATATGAGAAAAAAAAACTTTTTTTTTATAATTAAAATTCTGAAATCGACTATTCAGTATATAATTGTCTAAGATTAGTGGTTCCTTAATTATTAAATAAGAAAAAATACTACTAAAGCTTTATTAATAATCAAATAATGACTTTTTTTAGGCTTTACATAGATCCATTGATTTCTCTATTCACTAAATATAATGTTATTCGAGAGCATCTTAAAGTTCTCTTTAGAGATACTTCAATTTTTGATTCAATGGCTATTACTACATGTAAATAATGCTAGAAAATATTTAGTATGCTTGTCGATAAACTTACTTCCATCATCATCGATATCTAAATCATTTCCAAATGTTGCACCTTTACTTTTTCGATTAGTTATTGTTTTATCGAATTTACGATTTGTATGTTTAAGTGAACTAGCAAAAACCGATGAGCTGGATGCTGAATAAACATAAGAAATAGAATTAAAAAGAATAAAAAATAAAAACAATTGAATTGAAACATTGAAATTCATTGTTTTTGGATTATTTAAAAGTTGAGTTGACCTTGGTGTTAAGTAACATCGTAAAGAGATTCATAAAAGAAAAGCATTTCATTCAATGTTGTAGTTCTACTTATATATTGATCGACAAGCGTTAACTTTTTGATGCTCTTTGTTTGTGATAAAATCTTTATTCTCCATTGTTCTCGAGTTTTTTTTTTTTCGTTGTTGTTCAATCAGAGACAAAGATAAAGATAGATGATCTCAAAATCCAAAGATGATTACAGAGTGCATTAGCGTTCCGCACTAACAAAAAAATATATAGAAAAAGAGAAACGTCAATTTGGTCTCCGATTTAGCTTTCATCGTCACTCAGTTTATGTTCTTGATGTTGTTGTCTTCGTTCTCGATTTTCTAATACTCATGCATAAGAATGACAACAGAATGATGATAATGGTGACGACATGAACAGCGAAAAGCAAAGACTCTTTTTACTGTTGTAGTTGGATGAAATCTGAGAACAGTAAAAAGATAGAAAAGAAAACAAGAGAAATGTATAGATCGAGTTAAAAAGCTTTTTTCCCGATAAATTGATGTAATAAACAAAGAAACTATTCGCATCTAGAAGACAATAAACGAGCATATAGAAATTTCTTCAGGGACATTTTCTATTATATTCAAACTTCAAATAAAAATGTTTTTTCTACAGACTATAGGCAAATCAATGGCAAAATCATCTTTTTCTATCAATGTCAGAGAAGACAAGCGTATGTATTCGTTAGATAGATTCTATGCATGATTATATTAGCTAGATGTCTGACACAACGAATAAAATTATTTTATAATTATTGATGACATTATGTTCAATGAAAAAACGAACAAGATTTACACTTAAATTTCCTATACATGTACCTATATGTATATATATATTGACAATAATATGATTGGCACGTCGAGTTTTCTTCGATTATTGCTCTCTTTCATTGTCATTTAATTTCTTATGTATATCGTAGAAAACATCTATGATTAGTTATTCTGAAACTTCTAGCCTCCTCAGTGGAGTTAAGAATTGATTGGAAAAAATCACAAATGTCTTATATACTCATGCATTATTGAAATAAAAATTTATTATTTTCTTTCTGGAAGATGTTTTTGTGCTTTCTTTATTTAATAAGATTAAACCTCGATGAAATAAGAAGGATTTTTCAGGTTTTTACACTGTTGCAGCTTTTCTGTTTCAATTTTTCCAGGCACAATACCACTGGAAAGTTTTCATAAGCAAATTTTTTTGTCAAAATTAAATCTTATTAAAAAAACCAAAAGAAAAGAATATCCAATAAGAAAACAAAAAATTTAATTTCAATAGCGCATGAATACATTAAACATATTTGCAGTTTTCTCAATGAATTCTCATTCTAGTGAGATCACGTCAAAACTTTCAGAATAAGTAATAAAAAAATATATCTAAATAGTAGATATGCAATCCAAACAACAACAACAGGGGAGAGATAAATATGTAATCGAAAAAAATTTAGAAAACATTTGTTTCGGTCAAAAGTATAGATAGTTTTATCAAATGGAAACCTATGATCGAAATATATTGTGCATTGTGGAAAAAATTGATTATAAACAAAATAAAGAAGATTTGTTTCTTCATACATCTATCTAATGTCCGCGTCAGAATTAACGAGATGTGGTTGCAAAATCTGTCTGTGAAATGAAAAATTTCCCCGAAAATAAATAAGTTCTTGAACAAGTTTCTCTTGCTATCGAAATGAAGAAAAAGTCGGATTCACTTTTTCAATCACACATTCGAAGAAATAGATTTATTTAACACACAAAAAAGTCATATAAAACACCAATCTTTAGTAATCGTCAATTCATAGAAATGATCTTCACTCCAAAACGTAATGCATTGTATACTTAAATAAAAGAACAAACTGTTGCGATACTCACTATTAATAAATAAATCATAGAAGCTGTATACAAAGCTTATATTCTTATTACTACCAGAAAAACATTTCGTTATTCGAACTCCCAAATGAAATACTTTTCCTACAGCTAAATGATTTTCCAAAACCTCTCCAAATGTGCGTTGACGCACATAAATAGAATATGTAAGTCTGTGTGGACGCAATCTTAATAAATCGGCAAGGGTAACAGCAAGCGACTGGCAATTTTCTATAATCGAAAGAGGACAACGTCGAATATGCTTTCGCCTGTTACTACATAAGACAAAATTACATTACCTTCCTAAAATATTCAAAAATATCCATGAAAACAATCTTTCGTTTTAAAGAAATTTTTATAAAAAAATCAGAAAATTCATGAAAAATCAAAGAAATTTTATGTAATTTGACCGATTAGATACATTATTTCTTTTGTTTGACACTGAAATATGAGAAGATAATCACCTGAATCATGTCTTAAACTATTGATTTAAAAGCCCTTTATCTGAAGTGCATGCCAAAATCAAAATTACATCGAAAGAGAACACAATTTTCATATATTTTTTTTCAAAATGTTTTATGAAGATGATGTCATTTTATCGTATATAGTAACAGACAAAATGACGTCAGAAGATCTCCTCTTCAGATTACTGAAAATAAGAGGCCACTTGTTATTACGGTTGTCGAGTTATTGAGCTGACACTCATTTCTATTTAATTCTGGTACGAATGTCAGTTTTTTCATAATACAAATTGTATTGATTTAATAAAGTTTTCATTATAATCGAGAGTCTAATTGATTAAATATGAACTTCTTTGAGTAGAATTTCTGTTACGAAGTTTGTTGTTTCTTTTTTCTTTGTCTTCTTCTAGTTTTTTTTATTTACATTTTCTGTAGAAAATGGTCGAAACAAAAAAAAAAGAACAGAAGTCTGTGTTGATGATCATTAATGAGAACAATGAAAATGAAAGAACAAATAAAATAGACAGAGTGAAGAAGAAGGTTGAAAAATACACGGCAAAAGAGATAAATCAAAATGATAAAACATAAAGGAAGAAAAAAAATTCTCTATCTATAAAGTTTATTATTATTATTATTATTAATAATAATTACGTTGATGTTGACTATTCTGTTGCTGTTTTTATTGTTGTTGTTGGAACAGTGATATTTTCTTTTGGTGGACTTGCAGATGGTGAAGATGCCTTTTCAATATTTTCTTCATTATTATTTTTATTATTATTGATGACTGATTCATTAGTAGAAGTAGTTTTTGTTTCCATAGGATTACTATTTTGTTCAACAGCAGGAGTTCCTGGTACTTTCGATTCAAGTTTACCAATTACTTTTTGTACATTGCGTATCATTTCTTTTCGTTTTTCTTTTATATCAGCACTAACATCGACTAGTTCATCGCAACGTATCATTATTTTTAATGCTTGTTCATCAAGTACTTTATATTGACGATCATCCCGAGTTGAGCCAGTAAACATATCAACTTGTTTCTCAAGATTATCCAAAATTTGTTTAATTTGTTCGAGTTTTTCTAAAGCTATCATATTAGGATCACGCACAGGTTGTGGTGGTGGTGGTGGTGGTGGTGGAGATGGAACATTAGTTGATGTTAAAGTATCAGTTGATGAAGCCTGTGGATCACTTGGTTGTGTTGATGAAGAAGAAGAAGACGGTGCTGGCATTGGAATAGGACCGTCTGTATCTTTAGCCATTTTAAGTTCAGGTTCTTCTTGTTGTTGTGTTGTAGGGGGTGTAGATTTAGCTGGTGATGTACCTCGCTGAGAAGCAGCTGGTGAACGAGCACGTTCATTCGCTATTGAAAATAAATGAAATTTCTTTTAAAATTATATGTATCCTTCTTTTTTATTCTATCTAAACGAACCTTTTTGTTTTCTTAAAATACTACTTGATATACCCATTATACTTCATTGTTATTTTATTTAGTTGTCTACATTTAAAACTATTAAACAAATGTATTTTCAACTTTTTTGTTCTTGACAATAGACTATTATTATCAAAAAAAACTTCTCTTAGCAGTTTTTTTTGTTTTCATTCTTCTGTACAGATATGCTCATACTGTTCTTTTTTTCTATTCTTTGTTTTTCTTTCCTCTTTTATGATTTCTATTACATGAGGGTTAATGGACGGGGGTAAAAAAAATAAATGTGTACTGCTTGTTCTTTGCTATGAGTGCATACGCACGCCTATGCAAAATATATATGGTTTGGTCTTCTGTAACCACCATCGATATCATCAATCTAGCTACTGATGTTAAGATATATAGTAACTATGGAATTGATCGACAGAATGATAATAGTATTCATCTAATATTTTGTTTTTCAGGAACTCGAACAGCAGAAATCTCGTCTTTGTCATATGTCGAAAATAATGAAAAATAATTGACAATTGATATTTGAAATGATATAATAATAGTTGTTGTACGAAAGAAGAAACCCAATGTTTTCAATACAAATTTTCTCATATGGGTTTCTTTTTTTACCGCTTTGAGAAAATATGAATGATGATTCATCATTGAATAGATCAACTCATTTAAAAGTAAAATTTCGACGCACTTCTATTTTGTTTGCAAGACTAAGAAAGTGACAAAAATATATTTATAGTAGAATCAACAACATCTGTTGTTATTAAATAATGAAATGGCATTTTCTTTTCTGTTTTTTAAATGACGAAATAAAAAAAGCGTCATTGGAATTTAAAAAATGAAAACAAAAAAGTTTACTCACAAGCATTGTTTCCACTTCCTTGGGAAGTATTTGGTTGATAATGATCCATTGGTGCACCATATTCATTTGTATAAATAATATTTGGATTAATATAAGCTTGGTTGACATAAGTTGGTTGTTGTTGTTGTTGTGGCTGTTGTGGTTGTGGTTGTTGTCGCTGTTGTTGTTGTTCGAATGGATATTGTCTCATTATTGGAAAACTCTGATACATATCTGGAAAATCATTAAGAGCATCAAATGATCGACGTAAAGGGCTTGTATAGAGATTTGGTTGAACAAAATCCGAATCTGTATGAAAACCACTACTAAATGTAGGTGGTATTAATGAAGTATATTGTGGTTGAGTATCATAACGGATTGAATCAAATGGTGATGAAAGAAGATCTTCACTTGAACGACTAAAATGTAACGGACCTGGTTCATACATTCGTTGTTGTGGACGATAATATTGTGGTTCTTGATATTGTTGATATGATGGATGATCATTAAATGGTTGATTAAATTGTGAATTTGTATTCACACGATCATAGGTAGTATTTGGACTTTGACGTGGTGGAAAACGACTAGGCGAATTAGAAGTCCATGATGGAGAATCTGAATATCCACCATATGGACTATCGTTATGAAGTGTTCGAAATGGAGAATCATGTCGTGAATGAGAAACTGAACTAGTTGATTTAGGTTCACGAATGATTTCTACCGGAATTGAAACACACTGAAAAAAACAAGAATATTAGTAAAAAAAAATGTCTACTATAAATTCCAACACTTACTCCAGACGGTGGACGACTGGAACCATTTGCTGAGGCCATTAACGTTTATAAATTCTTACAATTATTTGATTTTCTTTTTAAATTTATAGGTAATTGAAAAAAATATTCTATTTGTGTAATGTATATCAATAACTGTAATTTAGGTTAACATTTGAAAAACAATCTAAAATATTTATGCAAATTATATACATCAATATATAACCATATAAGGTAAGAAACCGACAATATAAGTACTATTTACTATATAGAAGCCGATGCACAGTAGCGATAGCTCAAAACGATATGCTGTTGTGCGAACGAATGTGCACTCAGTTATTATAAGGCATGCGTGTAGCAAAGGCAAAAAAATAACGTAGCTTGTTCTTCTGCTTTTATTTTCTTTCTCTCTTTTGCCGCCTCCTCTATTCTCGTTGATAATCAAAAAACTCGATTTTTCTTTTTTTCTCGCTCTTTCTCGTTTTTTCTGGGTCTTTATTACATTCCTATCGAATGCGTCAGTGTACAAAAAAAGAAAGGAATGACTCGACACTTGGTGAGTGAGTGAGACACCATTGGAAGATGACGTCATCAACCAAAAAACAACAACAACATCATCATTTTTCGCGCTGTCTTTTTTATTTCGTTTTTTTTATATCTCGTAAACATTTATTCGCCTATTCTTTATGACTTTTTTGTCATACAAATAAAAAAAACATTAATCTTCCTACGCGTGATATTTTTATGCTAAAACAGATGTTCAGAGTAATTCTCAAAAGTCCATTGAAATTCTTTTAATTTCAATTTTAATATTATTAAAACTAATCAAATTAATGTATGAATCAATAGATGTTTCTCAAAAAGAATTTTTCTATTTCTTTTATTGACACCCACGTTTGTTTCTCATATTATCTTATCAATAACATTGTAAGTGCCCTTTTCACATAACAGTCGTCTAATGCAGTTGAGTCTTGATGTTCAATGTTCGTAACCGACTATTTCTATTATCTCATTTATTAATACATAAACAAAAATAGCAGTTAACTGTTTACAACGTAGATTTCATCGATCCCAAGTGCATATATATAGACAGAAATAAAAACTAAATCTTACTTTCTGGTTGCGCATATAATGTGGTGTAATGATAAACGAATAAATGAATAATTCGACTATTTGATTTCTTGTTACACTACTTAGTAAACATGTAGTTTATTGTCGTCAATTATAGTCATTCGACAAAATACTCATATTTTTTCTTATGCTACTTGAATAGCAATCACCATTAAGTTTCTTTTTCTTTTTTAAACTACCTAACAATTATTTATTGATAAGTATCGAACCTTCAGGTAAAGTTTTTCAAAACGTTGGTATTCATTTGATGTCACATTTCCTCGCATACTTATTTATCGTTTCTATTTTTTCTCTTTTCTTCTCGTTATGTGCAAGGACAATTATTTTTCCTCGATCTATACCCTATTTAGTGGTTGTCATCGCTGTTGTTGTTGTTTCTATCGTACAGAATGTAGCTCTAATAAGAACAGGAAAAAAGAAGAAAAAAACATCCCACTGAAGTTGTTTTTGAAAGTTAAATCAAATATTTTTTAATATATCAAATTTATATCTTCTTGTTTTTGTTGTCATATAACAGATGACATGAAATGAACTGAATTCGATTTAGGATTAGTATTATCTTATTACAATATTGACTTATTTTTCACTAAAAATTCGAGATAAAACGTATTTATGTACGAATTCAGAAATGTAAAACAACAAAAAACAAGAAACTATGACGCATATAAAAATAATATAGACATCAATCGGTCAATAAATAAAACCTTGTTGGTTAATATCAGAAAAAAATAGTTCTATCTACGATAATTACATAAGCAGAAAATAAATTGAGGCAAAGCAGTCGACTTGTTGAGATAGAACAACAACAAGATGGGCATCGTTTTTTTTTCTCTGTAAAAGAGGCAGATAAGATATTTCGTTACTATTTATTATAAACAAAAGAATATCAAATTTATTTTTTTTTCACTCATTGACTTAACGAGTAAATAAAAATATAATTTTAATATAACAGACATTTCACATTCTTTGATTATTTTTCTTCTTGTTTTTTGTTTTGTCATACATTTCAAATCATTGTGCTCTGCAGAAAAAATATTTGGGTACGAACAAACGCAAAAAGAAGAATAAAAAGCAACAAAAATAATCTTGTTTGAATATTGCCTAAATACCATAGTAAACAAACATATCAATAAAAAAATACTAAATTGAAGAGAACAAACAAAACAAGAACACTGTACGTTTATTTTGTTTTACGGATTTATTTTATGACCTTCAATTAAAGCCTTGACATCAGCGGCCGATAATGTTTCAGAATGAAGAAGAGCTTCAGCAAGTGTCTTAAGCTCATGTGCATGTTGTTTAAGTAAGATTTTAGCGCGATCATATGATTCCTATGATAATGAAAAAAAGAAAAAGAAAATATAAAAATTTGTTTTTTGATAAATAATCCAAAAAAAAATCAATACCTGCATTAGTCGTCTAATTTCTAAATCAATCATTTCTTGCATTGTTGGACTTATATCATTAACACGAACAAAACCTAAACCAGCATCTTGTTCTTCTTCTCGAAATGATCTTGTACCAACTTTATCCGACATACCAAACTGTTTTACCTATTTAAATAAATAAATAAATAAATAAATATTAAAAAGAACTTTTTTTTTACCATGTTTGTTGCAAGTTTCGTCGCTTGACTAAAATCACTTGCTGCACCGGTAGTTATTTTCTCGCTACCAAATATTTGTTCTTCGGCAGCACGTCCAGCCATCATAACATCCATTTCAGCTAATAATTGTGACCGTGTTCGATTATATGTTTCTTTTGTTGGTATATGTGCTGTAAAACCGAGCGCTTGTCCACGAGAAATAATCGTTACTTTATGTAATGGATCAGCATCTTTAGTAAAATACCGTACAATAGTATGACCTGCTTCATGATAGGCTGTAAGGTTGTTTGTTTCTGGATCAGGTACTTTATATTTTTTCGCTGGACCCATAAGAACTTTATCACGTGCCCATTCTAAATGATTCATAGTGACAAATGGTGAACTTGATTGAGCAGCATAGAGAGCAGCCTGAAAAGAAGAAGAAATTTCCAAGAGGAAATGAGATTTATCTGAAGAATAACCTGATTAACCATATTTTCAATATCAGCACCAGTAAAACCTGTTGATCCCTTTGCTAAATATTCAGTATCAACAGTTGTATCATGTATTATTTTACTAATGTATAATTCAAAAATTTCTTTTCGACCCCGAAGATCTGGTGGTGCTATATAAATTTCACTATCAAAACGGCCTGGTCGTAAAAGAGCTGAATCTAAATAATCACGCCGATTAGTTGCTGCTAATATAATAATTCCTTCATTTTTTTCGAATCTAAATCATATTCATGAAAATGAGAAAAACACTTTATTTTTAAATATAATTTACCCATCCATTTCTGCAAGAAGTTGATTTATGGTTTGATTTGCATATGGATGTAATTGTGAACTTGATCGTTTAGCACCAACTGAATCAATTTCATCAATGAAAATTACACATGGTGCACGAGATTTAGCAACAGCTAAAATTTATGCTTGAATAATGAAAATAACTATAAAAAAAAAGCAGAAACTTACTAAATAATTGACGTACACGGCGAGCACCTGTACCAACAAACATTTCATCAAATTCTGATCCAGATGTATGAAAAAATGGAACACCAGCTTCACCAGCAACAGCTCGAGCCAAAAGTGTTTTGCCTAAAGATAGATTTGCGCGTTGTATAAGAAGAAAAAACAACGGTATATACCAATGCCAGGTACACCAACAAGCAGTACACCTTTAGGAAGTCGAGCTCCTAATTTTGTGTATTTTTCTGAATCTTTTAGATATGCAACTATATCCATTAATTCATCTTTTGCTTCATCAGCCTAATAAAAACATAAAAATTTATTTATTTAAAATAAAAATCAATGATTTTTTTATTACGCCTCGAATATCAGAAAAATTAACTGTAACATCTTCTGGATGAACTTCATATTTACTAGCTGAAGAAAAAGCAGTTGTTATTCCACCATCTTGAAAAATTCATATAAATAATCATATATATTAATATATAAATACACGTACATACCGCCACCAAGTGCAGATATTATATTTAATAGAAGTATTAATAAAATGCTGTAAAATAATATCACTCGTATTGTTTTAAAAATCGATGAACGATCTTTTGGTTTAGACTCCCCAGCCGCTGCTATATAACCTATAACACAAAACCTTTGCACTACGGAATTTGACGACTAATAAAATTCAAACCTTCGGCAAAAGCAATTTTGGCTTTTTGTTGCTCATCAATATGTGATGTGCTGCTTAGCACATCTTGAAAACGTTTACTATCAATATTTTGCGATGATGAACGTCCAGAAGTATATTGCGTAAGCTATACAAGAAAAACAAAGAGATAAGTTTATAATTAAATAAACTCCTCCATCCTCACCCCCCGCACAGAATAGAAATTCGATGGGCTGCTATTGCGACCAAGTGTTTTTTTACTATATCTATACTTTGTTTAGCTTACAAGTATAAAAGTGTTCATTGATTGATAAATCGCAATTTCTGAAACGTGTAACGGTTCTACACTATTAAGTAGATAGAATAATGAGCTCTTTACACTACTTATCACATTCACATGCTCATATGTCGTCACTAGTCAATGGATTCTGATATGAATACGAACAATTGTGATTAATACAATATTTATTTTAGCTAAGAAATTGCCAAGCTTTGAATAAATTAGAAAAAAAATTTATTAGATATGTACTGATATGATTTAGCTTAACGAATTTATCATAGAAGCTTATTATATACAATTTAGACATGAAACGAGATGTATTTTAATTGCCTTGATAGAAGTATAAAGTAAATCTTTGATTATGCAACACGAGTCTCTTATATCTGAGTAATGAATAGTTCAGATCTGATAAGTGTCATAATAATTGATGTTGTACCATCTCACTACATCCTGTTGGATCTAAAATTTTCAGACCTAGATCCGATGAACTGTACATCTTACATTATTTTTTATTATCGAGTTCGATATATGTTTATGTAATTTGAACTGATCACTGTTTACTTTTGTAAGATGTTTCAGTTTTCAGTCAAGGATTTGCCCATTTTTTGTCAAGTTAATAAAAAATAAAATTTTCTCTTCTGAACTATGCATAAGCTCATAACGGAAAGAAATCTAATAGAATGATATGATTGTATGCCTCATTATTATTCCACAGTTTTCTGACAGCTATCTGTTAATGATAAATATGCATACGCATTTTTCAGACAGCGAAAGAAATTAATTTGTTCGCTGCTAGAAAACATACAACACAAAAGAAATTAAGCACATAAACAAAGCTATAATTGAATAGTACGAAACAATCAGCTAATCTATCCACTTTCTTACATTGTTTTTCTTTTGCTCAGATCTAACATCGTGGTCTTCGATTCATTGAGAGAGATTTAGAAATGGAAAAATATAACTTACTCGATTGACAATAGTTGCTGATGGTGGTTGAATGGAATCTTTTGAATAATTTGAAAAGCTTTCTTCTTTTCCCCTTTTTTCATTAATAACCGTCGATGAGCGATGTGCATCAAAAGTATCCATTACTCGAGCTGAGCCGCTTGTAGCTGCACTAGTATTTCTACCAACACCAGTTGAACTTGAGTGTCTTGTTTTAAAACCACGTATCTGGTTGAATACTGAACAAAAATTGAAAACAAAACACGATAAATAAAAGTAAAAATAATATATGTACCTAAGTTTTGAATTTTTAATAAATCTGAATGTTTGATATGTTGAGTAATACCGACTTGACAAGAAAGACACGAAGTTGATGATACTGGTGATAGTGATAACTTTTTAAGTTCTGTAAATGAAAACAAGGAATCCTCTTCAATTCAAACATATAAATATTACCTTCTTTTGATAATTCATCAAGTAGCGATTCAATATTAACATTAAATGCTTGTTGTACAGTTGTAATTATTTCTTTATCAATTTCTTGCTACAAAAGACACATGCATTCTAGACACTATCATCATGCATTAAGGAGATCCTCTCCTTTCCAAATGTTCAAACCAAAATTCTTTTTGATCGTTTTGTTTTTCATCACTAATATAGCTTCGAAGTAGACTTCTGCGAAATGGTCACGGTCACGGTCTCTCGCGACCGTGATCGTGAATAGTTTTCGAACAATTGTCGTGACTGGGATCGTGACCGAATAGCTCGTAATCGTGACTTATTGATGAAAAATTTTAATATTAAAAATCTGATTTTTGTGAAACAAAATCAAGATGTTAATTGATTTACGGGTTTTCTTTGTTTTATTACAGAAGAAATCTACGAAATCAATTTAAATCTTGATTTTGTAGCACAAAAATGGAGCTAGTAATCCAAAATCTCCGTGACCGTGACATGACCGTGACTAATTTCGAAAAATCTCCGTGACTATGAGCGTGACCGCGACCAGGCAGCTCGTGACCGTGACGTGACTCAAAAATCGTGATCATGCAGAAGTCTACTTCGAAGTGTCCTCTGTCAAATACCATATAAATGAAGGCTCTTCATTGTCCGTCAGTGAGTACTTTGTTAAACCCAACTCTCGAAACTCCTAGCAGGAAAACTTGCGCTACGATGATTCTTTGAATGCAAAATTCTCGCTCCTTCTGATAATAATTATTTTTCATTCTAAAGGTACTGAGAGCATGGGCGATGAACCTCTAGCAATGTTTAACAGTCAATTTTCAACTACTTCAGTCGAAGAAAAAAAGTCCTGATGCATACACAAAAAATTTTTTTTTTGTTTTCCTTGAAATCAACTTTTACGCAAAAAAGTGTAGAATCGTCCTCGTTTCTCCGGCATAATATGTTCGATTGAGCTGAAACTTTTTCTATAGGTACTGGACATTTATGTCTTTCTCGGAGGTATGCTAAGTATTTCGATCTTTTTATTCGAATGAAAAGAGATAAAAAGAAACAAAAAAAGTAGGTACCCCAAACAGTATCTTGTATCTGTTCCAGCTCTATTGGACGTATTACAGCTGAAAAAGCGGTGCTATTTTCAGACGTTGCGACCTAGATATTTCCTATAAAGTAGTATTTAGGAATACAAAGTATATGATATAGTTTGCTCTAATCATCGAGATCTATCGAACCTGAAAGTTTGAAATATTTTTAATGAATCCTTCTTCAGAAATCCTGGAAAGGACGGGAGAGGGATCCTTTAAGGATTTTATTACTTTCGAATGTTGCAGTTGTTTTGTATTTATGTATGATGAAAATTGTTTCAAAGCATCACTTGTTATCGCTTGTAAATTTCGTGGTAAATAACGTATAGATTGAACAAAAAATGAAGCACATTGTGAACATAGCTAAAGCAAAAGATGCTCATAGAAACATTTTGATCTCATGTTTCTTAGTTTTCTCACATTCGTTGGCGTTACAAATGAATTCATCTACAAAACATACATATGTCTGAAGTAGTACATAAGTGGATTACTGTAAAGGAATATTTCAATGATCTATATGAATTTTTTTTTTGTAAACACATAAACACGAAAAAAGAAAAAAATATATAAATAATATAATGAGATAAACAAATCCATATACATAAAGAATAGAAATTACAAGTTTTTCTGTTTTTTTTTTTTATTTTACAAAGAATAGTTCACAAAAGTTCAAGAAGATGATCAGCTTCGAGTAAAGCTTCATCAATTAATGCAAATGTATCAACAACATCACTAGATTCGTTAGGTTTGAGTAATTGATTTTTATCATCTTGATTTGAAGTATTTGATGATTGAGGTTCTGCAGTTCGTTTAGTGGATGAACTTTTATTATCAGTAATATTTATTGGAGTTTGTTCAATTGATTTTGTCGATGTTTGAGAAGCCATCATTATTGCAGTTAAAGGTTGCTTAATAACGACTGATGATAATTGTCGTGGTTGTGGTGTTTTTGTTGTTATCAATGATGATGGTTTTAAAGAAGGTGAAACAATCAATTGTGGTATAACACGTGGGCGTACAGACGAAGAAATTATTGATTGGCGTGGTTCCATTGTAGTCGATGAAGAGCTTTTTCTTTCAAAAATTTTTGCACTAGATTCGTCGGTTTGTTTTTCCAAATTTTTATCCTGACTCGATAATAAAGACGAATGTGTAGATGTATTGAGAGATGAGATCCGTTGACGAAGAGAAGATTGATGTTGAGATAACGAATTAGACATACGTTTTGGCGGTGGTGTATCATCAATTGTTGTTTCTGTTGCTCTGCGTTTACGTTCATTAGGAGATGAGGTAATAACATTACGATTAGTAGACAAATTAGTATTCATATTATTAATTGCAGTTATTGAAGTAGAAGAATTGATTGATCGAGGCGGAGATATTGGTTTTTTCTGGAATCGTCTACGAATAAATAATAAAACTTATTAATGTAAAAATAACAATTCAAAAATATTTACTCAATACGCATTGTTCGACGTTCATCATCTTGTAACAAGCCTATTCCTAGAATATTTCGAATTTATATAATCCTACGATTACATTAAACTCGTGCAGTTTAGAAAAAAAAACACCGAATTAAGATGATAACGATGGACATAAATATATAACCGTCATTAATCTAATGCATCTCATTTCAAAATAAATAAACATTAACAAAAATTGCAAGATATGTTTTCCTTTTGAATCCCTATCTAAAGCTCACTTAACTCATTGATAGAAAAAAAAAAAAACGATCAAGAACCAATATAATAAGGGGATAAGACAGGAGTCTTTGTAGCTGCCGTTGCACATGATTGAACACATATAGAGGCAGTTTGATAATTGTTAAGAAGAGAAAATAGTGTAGGAAGGAATATTAATATATTGAAATAATAATAAGTGGGATGAATAAATGTAATGCCAACGAACGTACCCGCAGATGCCTAAAATGAAAAAACAAAAATATTTTGTTTAGAGTTTTGTTGTTTTTAATAATCGATTGACCTTTTCTTCATTGGTTGGTGTGGAAACAGAAATAGATGAGTTTCCACTGAATGTTTTTGTTGCGGGCAAACGATCACGATTCAATCGTATTGGTTTTGTATCATTCGTTGACATTGTTTCTTCTAATGACATCAATAAACGATTAGTAATCGATGATGTTGTATAAGGAAATGAGGTATCAATGGCTAAAAAAAATATATTTTATTTTAATTATCGATGTTTTGAGACGGACATTTCTCTAAGCCCGAACCAACTGAGAAGAAAAAATAAATTAATAGTAATGGAAATCAATTTGAAAAGATCTAAATATATTGCTCCCTTGATGAAAAATAAGTATCCTAGCATTCTAGTCTAATTACAAGAATATCAATTATTACCATGGACCTTATTTGATAAATTTGCAACTTGGTTATATCCTGCTTGACTTGTTATAATATCTATTATATGGAGATGTAAAACAAATTAAAATATCCATACGGGTGGAACAAAGTTTTGAATAGCACCAAGATCTTCGAAATTAATTTTCTGGCATAGATTTGAAACTTTTTAGAAATGGTTTCATTTGATAGAGCATAATAAAATGTCTGCATAATCTCTCTCTCTCCATAATGTTTCTCTGTCGAACTGTATTCAATTTACAGACGACTCAAGAAATATGTTTCTTTTGTTTTTATGAAAAATTTCAATAATTTCGCCGTGTTTGACACTTAGAGCCCTCCTATGAATTCAATGCAGTTCGTTTGTAGAAGATCATGAAGAAACGCAAAACATCTCATTTTTTTCTATCAAATAAAACCATTTTATCTGGATGATTTTATTTCTTATATACAGTGGCTCCCAAAATTATCCAATAAGGTATATTTTCAATTTTTTTCCACTACCTTAAGCGTTAGAAAGATTTCAAACAGTGATTCGAGTAGAAAAACTTGTTTCGAATAAGAATATAACAAAATAAAAATTATAGCAAGATTCTCAAAGATGGGGTCTCCAGAAAACCAAAATCCTAGGTTTTCAGCACCCAGAAGTCATTAATTTCTTTGTGTTTTAACCTACAATGATAGAGTAACAAATTCTCTACAAAATGAGATGTTTCCGAGCTCTCTACGACTTTCTCTTCAAAAGTTATGAGCATCACAAAAACGGAAAAAAAGTGAAATTTGTCAGAAAATCGACTAAAAACAGCATTTTTTCAGTTTTTCTGATGCTAATAACTTTTGAAGAGAAAGTCGTAGAGAGCTCGGAGACGTCTTATTTCGTAGAGAATTTGTTACTCTATCATTGTAGATTGTTAAAACAAAGAAATTAATGAATTTTGGATGCTGAAAACCTAGGGTTTTGGCTTTCTAGAGACCCCATCTTTGAGAATCTTGCTTTAATTTTTATTTTGTTATATTCTTATTGGAAACAAGTTTTGTCTACTCGAATCGCTATTTGAAGTTTTTCTAGCGCTTAAGATAGCGGAAAAAAATTGAAAATAAACCTTGTTGGGTAATTTTGGGAGGCACTGTATACATATATAAATTTTTTTTCTATCCTTGAGTCAGTGATTCCTTTTTCAACGTTTCAAATGAATTATATGATATAATGTATAAGAATAATGGCATCTATTGGATCAAACTGATTATCAATTCTATTAATTTATTATGTTTTCTTAGTCGAATTGGGTTCAAAACAAAATTTTCTAGATGTTTTTCTTAGTAACAGAAGAATTCTTTACTTGATTGAGAAACTTGTTTAATTTTTTTTGTATCGTTTTCTTGTCCGACTGAATCAATATCAATCTTTTTATGTTTTTCAGGTGAATTATTACTATCAGATGAAACAACAACACGATTTGATGATGATGATAATGTTGTGGGAACAATTTTTCGATTTGGAACACACGGTGTTTCAGCAATAACAACATTTCGATTAGCAACTAATCGTGATTGTGTTGTTGTTATCTCTTCTTGGTTGGACTTGGAAGAATTTGTAATTACACTACGACTAATAGATTTATTCAAACTTGGACTATTATTATTGTTGTTATCTGATAAATTCTTATGTTCATTTGATTGATCAATATCTGATGGTATTGCAATACGACGTGGTGTTATCGTTTCAGTTTTAAGTATCGGTAACGATATGTCAGAAGTTGATGATGATTCAATTGTACTAATTGGTATGACTAATTCTGTTTCACCTAGATAAAGAAAATTTTCAAAACGAAATTCAAAAAGACACAAAACTAACTGATTGTTGGTTGAGAAGAATTGATATTAGAATTAGGAACAGGCGTTGTTTGTGATATGCCAATAGAAAGAGTATTATTAACAATGGATTTAGTTGCATCTTTTGTAATGAGATTTGTTGATGAAGCTACAAAAGAATAAAATATATAATTACATTCAAAAAAAAAAAAAGCTTCTTACGTCGAATTGTTGATGTATTTCGTAGATTCATTCGTGGACGTGAATGAATAAATGTACAATCAAGTTTTAAACAACCCTTTGCTGTATTTTCATAGAAACATAATATACCGTTACTTATCATTGGACGCTAAGCAAAAATAAAAATAAAGAACATGGATAAACAATATAACTTTAATCATATACCTGAGCAGTACTATGACGAAACGGACAAGCAGGATCAGGACAATTACCACGTAGCCAAGCTGGACAAAGAACGTTGCATGTTAAAGCTAATGGGCTATGTCGATATGTACATGATAAACCCTAAAAAATACATTGTTTAATAAATTTGATATTACAGCAACCACCACAAAAAAAAACAATCATAACATACTTTTGCACAGGATGATGTAAGAAAATAAAAACAATCTTCATTCGATTTATGCATAATCTTATTTATTTTTAATCTAAAATATATCAACAATCGTAACTTACTTTATAGGGAATGCAAACAAAAACAAAAGAGACAATCATACTACATTAATTCATTAAGAGCAATGTACTATTTACCTGGTGTTGTTTACATATTTATATGTATTCATTTCTATTCTTATTGACTTGTTATTTATACCAATCATAATTAATATATGCAAAAAAGAAGTGGCTCCATCTCTTTGTTTGTTTTTTTTTTGCAGTTTAATTTCTTATCAAAAATTTCTTTTTTACTTATCTGTAGAATAGAATATATGTAAATAAAACATTTTAAAATCTATTCTTCATTCAAATTTGATCAATGAATTCAAATTTTTGTTTGCTTGTTTACATAGTTGATTTTATTCGACATATTTTTTTTCTTTTTAGCCTTTAATAGGTTTTGTATATATCTTGTATAGGTAAAAATAATTTTTCTTTCTTGAGTTCTTTGTTTAATATCAAATATTAATTTTATTAAAATAATTATTATCTCGTGTTTCAGATAATTGGTGGTGTTTTGTTTTCTTTATTTTCTTTTGTTTTTCTTTTATCGATTTTTATTGCCATCAACATCATATACATAGATCTTACTGTGATTTTTCTTTTCTTCTGTCATTGATATTAATTTCCTCAGACCTAATCTACGACTTTCTTCAAATGGATTATGCATACGGGCAATCTAATGATTATGCACTACGGTAAAAGTTTTTTTTTTTGTTTTATTAATTATTTTTCCTAATGTGTTTTTCGTCATAGAATTCTTGTTCCTAGTGATTCTGTAGGAGCTATAATTGGTAAACAAGGTTCAACAGTTAAACAAATCAAGCAAAAAACACATGCAAAGTCATTTTTTTTAGTGATAAGAAAATCTTGAATGTATCATTATTTATAGAATTGATGTGAATAAAAATGAACCATCAAATATACAAGAACGCGTGATTGCTTTTCGAGGTCAACAAGAAAATTGCACTCAAGCATGTCGAGAAGTACTTCGTATCATGTATGAAGATGCCAAAACTAAAACTAAAACAAAGTAACAAAAAAAGTTATTTCAAACTTTTCTTGATTAGTAATATGATATTTTTTCATATCAGTGAAATTGTCTTAAAAGTACTTGCACATAATAATTTCATCGGACGAATTATTGGTAAAGGTGGTAACATAATAAATTCAATAAAAAAAGAAACTGATACAAAGTTTGTTGAAAAAAAAATGATTTATTATTTGATTGTTTTGTTTGTTTTTTCTTATTAAATAGTATTACTGTATCAAGTATAAATGAATTAAATTCATATAATGTTGAAAGAATAATATCAATAAAAGGTGAATTTGAACACCAAATGTGTGCACTTGAAACAATCTATGCTAAATTATGTTTGGCTTATGACAATGATAATGCTCGAACATGGAATTATCCAACATCACAATATCAACAACAACAACAGCAACAGCAACAACAACAATTAATGCAACAATTTGCTCAACAAGCAGTTATGATGGCTACTAGTGCTAATGGCGGTCCACCTCTATTTCCTACACATTATGCTCAGCAACATCAATCGATAATTCAACAGACACCAACAAATAGTAGTAATAATTCATCAAGTAAATATGTTGAACAACCACCACATCCAACAGCAATATATCATCAACCTTATTATGTTAGTTAAATATAATTTGAGAAAATTAGAATAAAAAAATACGTGTTTATCTAATTTTAGCCACCAATGTTTCCTGTTCCAGGCCCCTATTATATGTCATATCCCCCAACGAGTCATATGGTTCCTCCCTATCCTCATCAATACGGAAATGTAGCAACAAATGCAAATGGAAATCTTAATCATCATCAACAACAACCACATTCTCCACCAATTGTACAATTGTCACAAAATACATCAGCAGCTATTGAAACCGTTCATTTATATGTACCGAATACGGTGATTGGAGCTATTATTGGTACTAAAGGTCTTTTTATTAAAAGTATTATTAGTAATTCAAATGCATCAGTTAAAGTAATGGATTATTCAATTATAGTTTACTCTTATTGTTAATCATATGCAATATTTAGATTAGTCCGCTGAGTCCACATGAAGATCAAAATAAAATAATCGATCGACAAGTCACAATATCCGGAACACCTGAAGCTCAATGGAAAAGTCAATATTATATATATGATAAAATTCGACAAGAAGGTTATATCATTTTTATTCCATATAAAGAATTATCAGAAAGTATTTTCGACGAACTCAAAGCTATGAGTTACGATGTTCTTTTCATATATGAACTTAGAAATATTGTGTTTATTTTTGTTTAATACTAGTTAGAGAATTTTTAAAAAATCTGAAAAATTATTTAGCATGAAGTTCTGTTCACCCTATAAGTTTCTTTACGAACATGCTAAGAATCGTTAAAGTCAGTCATTTTGTAGAGCGAACACATCTTTACAAAATCTGATAGTAAACTAAGCTTCTAGCTTTTATTCAAATGTGGCTAGAAATAAAAGAGCTTCTTTCAACGTAAAATGATTGTCCATTTTTCAACAATGAGTATTTAGGAAAAAACGCAATTTGGAATGCCTTGTCGAAAAACACAGAAACTTCAAATAGTACACCTGGTAGAGTAGTTTGGGGATTTTACAGATATTATTTCACAACACTCAAATAAAAATTGAGACAAATTTCTAAGCCCATATTCAAACAGAGCTTCCTAATTTGTAGCTTTTGACTTATCTAAAAACTTTTCGATCATCTGTTATATATATTTATGAAGATCATCAACAATAAATTAATTATTTTCAGGTTATGCCGGTGATGATGAAGTACGACTACGAGCGGAAATTTATGTACCAACATCATTAATCGGACGTTTAGTTGGTAAAGGTGGACAAAATGTAAACGAAAAATTGATGCTTTTATTTTTGTAACATGGATTAGGACGATTTACTTCTTTTTTAGGTTCGTCAATTGCAACAGTCAACAGGTGCAATCATTAAATTACCAGAAGATTCACAACAGACATCAGCAAGCGAAGTTCCCGTTAAAATTATTGGCCCTTTTCAAGCTAGTCAAGTAAAATTATTATGTTTGTTTTTATTATTCCATAAATCTTTCTTTTTTCTTTTGTTATCTAGTTTGCTCAACGACGTATTCAATCGATTATTCAAATGAGTCGTGATTTAATTAATACATCAAATGAAGATAGTAACAATAATAATAATAATAACAATAGTGAACAATCAAATAAGTCGAATAATCTCAATGAGATATCGACAATTGTGAATGGAAGTACAATTAGTGATGATGCTGTTGTTGCTTCTAGTACAACACGAAATTCTGATGATAGTATAACAGCAGTCAATGAAAAAAAATCTAGTGATGAATGATGAAATTATTTTATCCAAGAGAGTTTGAACAAATAAAGTGCAATAGAAGAAGAGAGAAAAAAAATTCAATTTTAAACAGCATTTATTATGTATGTTGTGCCCAACAAACTCGGTGATAAAAGAAATCTCCCTTCTTCTTGTTTTCTTTTTCTTTCCTTAGCTTCTGTGAGGTTCTAGATTAGACTTGGAAACTCATAGAAATTGCTTTTCATTTCTTTTTATCTCGACAAAAGTCGATGAGCTGGTGTGTGTGTGTGTGTGTGTGCGCGCGTGTGATTCATTTGTTTTACTTTTTTTCGCTTGTTTTATCGTCTCGTATATTTGCTGTGTGTGTGTTGGCTTGTTTGTTTTGTTTTCTTTTTTTAAGGACATCCGTCGACTTTTCTTTTATTTTGAGTGACGGAATCGAGCGATACATATGCGCGCGTTATTTAGGCGTTGTTTTTTTTTTATACCGCGAGTGGAGAACGCGATCTGAAAAACAAAAAAAAACATGGAAATAAAAACAAAAGCGGGATAATGATGTGCTGTTGTTTTTTTCTAAATGAAATTTAAAAAAAATTTTGTTATTCGGTAAAAGTATTAAGAATGAAAAAAAAATAGATTCAAATATAAATTTGTCTGGATCTTTGTCCGATTGGTTGGACTCATGTTTATAAAATGGCAAAATGATAGTTTTATTTATCACTTTCATCTAGATTTCTTATGGCTGCTTCATGGCTTCGTATTAATGAACTTTTCAGGTCAAATGCTAAATTTGTTTGTATTCTGGCTCGTATTCAATCAATCAATTCTATACAAAGAACTCTCATCTTATATGATAATGATGATAATGGAAGATCATTGTCAACTTTGCATGTCTCATTTGTCAATGTTCGCACGCCATCTGATATTCAATCATTAGGTTTATTATCAGGCCAATATATTCAAGTTTATGGAAAAGTTATTCGACAAGGTGGTAATATTATTCGAGTTGATGCTCAACTTATTCGACAATTAGGCACTGATTTTGATATAAATGAATATGTAAAAGGTTTAATTATAATGCGTAATTATATAGCAAACGTTGATAGTAGTGGTGTTGAGAATGTTGTAGATATAAATATTAATCATGTCTTCGGATAGTACAATTAAATCGAGTGTAGTATCTGCTTTTCGTTTGCGTGGTCTTGATTTGAAATTGTAAGTAAAGATTTGAAGCACATTTACGATAATCTTTTGTTGATTTTATTCAGTGATGCATCGCAATATTTAGTTGAATTAGCTTCGACTGTTCCATCAGCTTCGGTAATCTCTTGGCTTGATCAACTTATTGATTTATTGACCAAACGAAATCGTATGTTTCTTTTTTTTCCTTACTACGATATATCATCTTATCTTTTTCTTGCTGTATAATAATCTAGTTTTGTCATCTATTGTTGATAAAACACTTCTGACTAATGTTGTTCAAGAATTAAGAGCTCAACTTTCAAATGATTCACAGTTTGCATCATCATCATTTAAAGATTTTTATAGTGTTCAAAACGATTACTTTGCTTTTTTTAAAATTTTAGTAACGAAGCTCTTTTTTCAGTTCTTAATGCATTTTCAACGCCAAAATTTATATATTCAAGACCAATGAAGAAATTCATTGGGTATTTCTCTTTTTTATAGAAAAATATTTCATTTCGAACAATCATAATTCTTTGTAGAAAAGAAATTGATAATGATTTATTTGGAAGTGCTCGAACACGTTCGGAAGTATTCTGCGAACGATATGATTTACTGTTACAAGTAAGAACATATATATAATCATAGTTTTATTGTCATAGTTTATTTATTTTTTCACAAATAAATTTAGCGAACATTAAGACATGACGTCTTTTCACAAGTCAATTTAGCATCGGTATCAACAAATAAGGTTCAAAAATATCAGGTGAAAATTTTATTCGATGAAAAAACACAAACATAGTGTTTGTTTCTTAGTTGAAAACAATTGAACATTTGTTGGCTGCTGGTTCTAAATCGGAAAAAGTTGTAGTACTTGGAATGTTGTCACAGTTACACGAGGTAAGGATATATGTCGAAAATAAAATTAGTTATGAGATCAAGAAGAATTTTAAAATTTTTAATAGACGAAATATGATCTACAAGACCCAACTGGTGTCATTTCACTCAATCTAGATAATGCGGTATTATGGATTTTTTCTTTTATTTTGATTTTCGCATGAGATTCTTTTTTGTCTAGACATTTCATCCAGGCTTTTATTTTGAAAATTGTTTCGTGTTAGTTGAAGGACAAATCGACGATGGAATATTTAATGTATCAGGTATGGAATGAATGCAATCTCGCATCTCATAAATCCCTTTTGAGTCGAGACTATATGTACTATAGAAACTCAAATGAACTATGAATATCCTGGTCCCGTTCAGGAACATCAGAAAGATTTATTTTCGACTTGAAACTTTGCATAACACCAGGTCTTAATGAGAATAGTTTCTTGTGAATGTTTTAGATCTTTTCGTTATTCCTATCCTAAAATATAACTATGGTAAAAGCGTGTCTTTTTTCGTCGTTCATATACACCGACAGATTTGATGTTGTTATTTCAGGATAGAAGCAAATTAAAAGACTCGAAACTTGCATTACAAACTATTCTCGTTAAAGCTTCTATCTATACAAATTTTCAAGTTGAAATTCGAGAGTCAATTATTCTAAAGGACACCATGACATTCATTAGAGAAATACAGTAAACATCTAGTATCCATACATAAATTAGCGAAGGGCGCGAATTTTTTTCAGAATATTCATAGTTCATTTGGACCTATATAATGCATATAGTCTTGACTCAAAATTTCCTTATTAATCGAAAAAAAAAGTATGATAATATCGTCGTTTTTTTTTCTCATTCATAGGCATTGGTTTACCACCGCCAGAATCGGCACAAAGTACAAGGTTTAATAATCATGATTGAATCATTTCCTATTTATAGTCTTTTTTTTTGTTTGAAAAATGGTTTTAGATCATATTTTGGTGAAATAAATATAACAGGAAATACGCATGACCAAAGTGCAAAAACAAAGATTCGACTTAAGGAAATTGAACAAAAATCTGATGATGCTTTTGTGTTTCTTTCCGATGTTTGGCTTGATGATAAAAAGGTAGATTGAAAATAATTAAAAAACATTCAATTTTTATCATCAGTATATTTTAGATCATGGAACGTATTGAACAATTATTTGATGGATTTGCCGATCAACCACCATTTGCATTTATATTTTGTGGAAATTTTCTTTCACGACCAACAGCTAATTTATATATCAATGACCTTTCAGGTAATACATAGGTTTTCTTGGCAACAAAGTAAATTATTTCAATAAGTTTTATTGATTATTGCAGATGCTTTTAAAAATTTTGCTAAGCTTGTTGCAAAATATCCGGATATTTGTGAACGTACTCATTTCATCTTTGTACCTGGTCCACAAGATCGACATGCACCAAAAATCTATCCTCGGTTTATTAACTTTTATTTAGAGAAAAAAACTAAACTAAAAATATTCATTCAATTTTAGAGCACCATTTCCACCATCAATCAATGATATATTAAAAAAACGTATTCGTCATCTTCATCTTGCTACAAATCCTGTTCGTATTCAATATTGTACTCAAGAAATAGTTATTTTTCGTGAAGATTTATTACAAAAACTTTGTCGTTACTGTATTAAATTACCTTCAGATAATTTGCCTATGCATGTAATATCTTTCTCATTTTCATATCAGTGTTTTGAAAAGAAAACAAAATTATTTTTAGCTTTGTCATACACTTGTTACTCAAGCGCATTTATCACCATTACCTGTTTACATGACACCGATTTATTGGTCTTTTGATCATGCACTTCATTTATATCCATTACCAGATTTAATTGTTGTTTGTGACAAATTCAAATCGATTACTGATACAATTGCCGATTGCACTATTATTAATCCAGTAAATAATAATTATTCTAAGAAAAATGAAAAAAAAAAAATTCTTTTGAATAGGGTTCATTTGCAATTAATAAATATTGCTTCAAAGTGTATTTACCTGCAACACGCGAAATCGAAGATAGTCAGATTACTAATATGTAAAATTTTCCTTTAGATTTATATATATATGAAGAAAAGAAAAAAATTTTTTTTTGTGAATAAAAGTCTGAACATTTTCATGTGCAATGTAATTTGTTAGATTCTTTTTGTAGATTAAGTAAATAATGGCTGCTAATAGCCGTCCTAGTCTTGATGTTCTTGTACCTCTAGTGATGATAGAAAATAATATAACAAATGATAATAGTGATAATTTACCTTGTGAACCACAAAAAGGTTTGAAAACTAGTTCTTGTTTAATTGTGAAATATTCATTTATTTTCAGACGTACTTCGTCATTTTGATTCAGGTGATATTGTTCTAGTTCGATTAGACTCACAATGTTTACCTGCAATCGTCTTCAATATTAGTGGTCTTGTCATGAAATTTGATAGTAAGATAAAATTGAATAAAGAAAGTCTTTCTATGTGGTTATGTCATATTTAGTTGATCGGCAACTGTATCATGTTTGTTTATTGGATAAGGAATTTACAGAACAATGGGTTGATGCAATTGATATGATCATCTATTCAGTACCAGTATGAATATATATCCTATTAATTTTATATAAGAAATTAACAAAGTATTTCTTTTCAGATGATAGCAGAATGTGAAAATGAACAAATAATGCATATGTGGTCTACAGCGAATGAGCTTCTTGAAATTCGTAATAATGATGATGATAAAACTCGTCTTGAAGAATTCAAAAGACGATTTAGTGAAGCTAGACAACAAAAAGTACCTCTTTCATCTATGAATACTTCGAAAAAGAATAGACAAAGTCGTACTTCAAGTCAAAAAGTGTCTTCACAAGTTATATGTTTATCTTTCGTTTGTGTTTATCATTCGTTTTCTTTTTTTAGATAACTTATGCTCCATTAACAACTTGTGAAGAATT